TCACCATCTCAATTGTACAATACATGTACCTTTAATAGCATGTACAGTGGACCTTCAGATATCCGGACGCCAGATATCCGGATGCTTCAGTATCCGGGTGACTTTTCATGGGAACAGATTTTTTTAATGTTATTTTGTCTTGTTTAACTGGTGATTCAGATATTCGGATGCTTCACATATCCGGACAAATTGACTAGGAACCAAAGCGTCCGGAAAAATGAGGCTCCACTGTATCAAAGTGCATTACACATAAATAATCATTTTATTGGAACATTAATTTATTCATCAGATTCATGGCCAAAAGATAAAGTTTAATTTTTTGAAAAATAATTTTTTTGTTTTCCGACATTAATGAATTGAAATTACTACATGTATCTGACATCTGTACTTGTAGTGCATTAGATGATATTCACCAATTGGCTCAACTCCAATTTAATGATAATTTAGTACTTTGACTGAAACAATATTAACATATACATACATCACTGTATATTGAGTTAATTTTAATCTACATACCACACACTGATTTACTGTTGACCGGGGACAGGTCTACGGTTGACAGCTAGTTCACACTATTTTGCCAAGAGATATTTTTTGTTTTGTTTTGTTTGTTTGTTTGTTTGTTTTTTGTTTTTATACAAAAATGGCAAGAAATTCAGGTTTAAATTTAAGCTTTTTTTTTTAAAAAACAGATGAATTTTTTGTGTATCCCACATGCAGACTAACCTTGTTAATCCATACTGTATGGACTATGAAGCTTATCCCCCATGTTTATTTAATGATGCGATGGCAGAGAGTGGAATACACGTATTTAAAGCATTTTATAATTCAATGCACAACTGGCAAGTTTCAATTAAATTAGGGGATAGTAGATTAATACATAAATAGGTTTTGCAGGGAGAGGAATATGAATGAAAATTAAAGACTTCCAAGGTATGTATAGCCAAGGGATATGAAATGCTTTCCCATCTATTTTTGGCTCCATTTGAAACCCTGCAAACTTTGAAGAAGATCATTTGTATACCCTCTTAAAAGTCAATAAACATGCACAATTGACAAAGCAATCGATGTCACAATCTTCCTGATCTTTGCACATGGTATCAATCATGTTAATGAAGCTTCTTGTTTAAATGGACATTCTTGTCCAAATTCGTTACATAACACGTGCTTGGTAATGCTTGTATAAGCCATGAATGACGACGGTAGTCTTTCTTTTTGTTTAACATAAATCATGAGCCTTCACTGTCCTTGGTTATTGCCACAAACAGTGATGTTTCTCCAGCAAAAGTGATACGCAACTTTTTTTGGTTTTAAAGAACAAACAGAATACTCCATACCTTTCTCTTCTCTTTGGCAGATTCTATTTTGTCCAAAACATTATGTAATGCAGACGATATTGAGGACATTTTTCTGCTAGTACTGGTGAATTTACGGATCATTACGCCTGTTGTGTTTAGGATCGGACTTTTGGTAATGCCGAGCCCGACGAGTAACTAGGTCATCAACAAGAACAATATTCAGGACACACACTTGATCAATTACGGTTAAAAAATCCTCACAAATAATTATATAAGATTGGTAAAAATCAAGGATATACCTGAACTACAAGACGATAACGAGCTGAAGAGTCACGAGACAAACGAGAGTTTAAAATTAAATCTCAGGGCCTACATGTAGTGCGTTGTCCTATCGGTCATGAACACTGTACCAATCTAATATAAAATTAGATGTTAGATCCGCTCGCATATTCGCAAGTATGCGAGCGGATCTAACATCTAATTTTAATTAGATTGGAACAGTACGAGTATAAGATCCAGTTTATACCAGCTATCATGGCATATTTGAGCTTATTTTGAAATGTTAATTAGGCCTAATTAATTAACAAGTATCAAGTGCATGTAAAACACTTCAAGTTATATCATTTTCACAGAACAAATAAAATCTTATTATTCATAGCCTAATACATGTAATAATTATATAAAAAAAAATATGCTGTACTGACATATATAGATAGAGAATTCTACATGTACATGTATTGTATATATGTCAGCATTTTCGCCAGCCAAGGGTTTCTGATACGCTAATCATGATTATGAGGATGGTATGTCTGTCACAGAGGATATTCCACCGTCGGAAACCCACGGGTGATCTCGTCTTTACTTAAAGACGAGATCACCCGTGGGTTTCCGACGATGAGGATATTCGTGACAGGGACCTATATTTCAGTAATCAATTAAATTTTTATTCCATAGTATAATAAACAGTGCATGGTTAATTAAGAGAACTACGAATGATAGTATTGTTTTCCCGCCTATACCTCCAAGTCAGTTTTCAAAAGTTAACATATTCGATGAATTTTTTTTATATTTTCTTTATAGGTACATGTAATTGTATTGATTTTCATAAAACATTTATTTTACTTATAAACAAAAAGAGATACCTCTAAACTGTTGGTACATGTAAAACTTGTGTTTTTCTCTATAGAAATCAACAGAAAATGGAAAATATTTTAAAAACTTCCCCCGTGACACAAAAATTCCTTTTTACAAGTAATATGGACTGTTATTTCAAATATTCATACCAAAGCTTTTTGTGTTTCACGGGATGGGGGGGGGGGGGGGTATTAACAAAAAAAAAAAAACCCGAAAAAAAATGCTTATTTTCCACCAATTTCAAAGCGATTTACAACTGAAACATTATTAATTATTATTAATACAAACATATTTGCATAAAACATAAGAAAAGATAATTATATAAGGAATATTTAATCATATCCAAGACTATTTCAAAATATAGTGATGCTTGCATGAAAGTCCGATTTCAATGGAAAATATCGTCCCCCCCCTTTTTTTTTCAAGAGACTGAATTATGGATAATTTACTAAGTAATGTTGGTATCAAGACAATTCATCAATTACCATTGAACTGGTCCTTGTATTAAACAAATATTTTATGGCCAAATTGCCGTTTATATATTGAATTAAATGGTTGCAGAATGTAGGCGGGAATCGAGAGTTAGCGTGTGTATTTCTTTTATTACTGAAACGGTAGTAACAAAATTGTCTATCATGTGATTTGAATGATGTAGATCTAGAAGATGGATTCCATTTAAATTAAAATGACCTGTATATCAAGATCTCATAATTCAATATATCAAACAGCATAATGTTAAAAATTTTTGTTTCATGTAAAAAAAATGTCAAAGAAATGTCTAAACTGGGAAGATTTTCAATTTGTTCAGCACTTCACAACATTCACAACGAAGAATAGAATAATAGACTAAATTGTTTGTAGCATATAATTTATATGTCATTATTTAATATATAACTGAAAGATTTGAATTTATCAGTGTTTTTTGTTTATAATAATTTTCTGATGTGCCATAAGGCACAAGGAAATAAAGAATTGAATTGACATTTTATATATACCTGACTGCATTGACAATCCAGACGTATTTTATTCACGCATATCGTAAATACTCGTAAGTTGGTATCAGGTCAACATGGTCAAAAATTTCTTCTTCCAACAGAAAGATTGATGAGTCTCTGAATAACAATGCCGATCATTTAAGTGCTTTTTATATTTAAATTTCGGAAATCCAAATGGAATAGATACATGTACATTTTCACAAAATATTATATTAATTACGACCAAGATAAAATTGATTTCTTATAACACATCTCAGATTAGATGCTTAATTGTCAGGGAATTTGAAATTGTCTGTTCTAGTCGTAAGATTTTTTGTGTGTGAAAAAAAGACCCACTACGTATGTCGTATTTGGGTACAGTATTTTACTGAGAAAGACATTTATGGTAACCTAACAACACCAATGAATTCAGTAAAAGATGAAAAGGATCCCCTCTCTATTGCTGGGATTCATACTATAGGTCAATCTTTCACTTAAATAAAACTCGACTCATATTGATTACAGTTCTTTAATTCCATATATATATGAATCTTCTGTTTACCTGTTTTCAACACTTTCGTTTTTAAAAACGCCCATCCCTTCTGTTTAAACGTTCGGTCAATCTGCTCAATTGTACACGGTACTGGTAGATATGACTGTTCTATCATAGCTTTGCTATTCTAGAACGAGTATATAAAATAAAGTTTTTATGGAAAAAGTTTTATTGCCCATAATAGCCTCGACATACTCCCAGAGGTGATGATTTGAACAAATCTGAATCTTCACTTTGTAAAGAAACTTTAACAACTTTCCATTTTTCTGACCTAGTAGTTCTTGAAATCTTTTTACATGATTCTAGACGCCAAATTTTAACTTTTTCTTAATTATCTGTCATTGAAGGAAGAGTTAAAATATGTAGTCCTCCATTTGAATAATAAATTTGTATGTCTTTCACCCAAGAATGCTTGGTTAAATTCGATTTCGCGGTTTTGGGGAAGAAGATAAAAAGTATATGCCAATAAAGGCAATTTAACGGATAAATCTTGATCAGAAGAGCTCACTCGAACCTTCAGCTCAGGTAAGCTAAAGAAAAAAATCCCGCAAAACAAAGATAAGCACTTGCTGGTTTTATAGAAAATTAATGTCTTACATACAAACAGTTACAACTGTGTATCATCTTGATGATAAAGGTCGTTCACGTTTGATTTTTCACTGTTTCCGTTTATCTCGTTAATATAACTTTTTTCTGAATGGAAACGCTGTGGCTTTTGTTTGTCTAAAGTTACTTTTATAACTTTTGACCTGTTGGTCTTCTTTTCAAAGTCTTCGCTTGTATCTCTTGAAGCATTATCTTTTCTTTCCAAATTAGATAGAGAACTGTCTTTTTCCCTTTGAATGTATTTATGCTTGGGTCCCTTCTTGCCTTTTCTTCCAGAGAAATGTTTGCAGTGCATGTGTAATGTACCTAAATCCAGAATTACAATTCCTCCAAGCATAGACACAATTATTATGATACCAACGACGCCGACGCTTGTGGCAGAGGGACGCGTGTCTTTGACGCTTGTTCTTGACGCCTTGCGTTTCTTTTCTCGAATCTTCTCCCCAATCTCTTCCAATTCTCGTTTTAACACCTCAAACGGTTCCTCTGTAGTAGGGGGCTGTGTGCTAGATAGTGTTTCCTGTTTCGTACTCTCTGTTGTGTAGTCCTCTGAAGTGAATATTACATGTTAATGTTACATTTAGCATACAGAAGTAATTGAAAGCGATGCTAAAGGCTTTTACATGTATTTGACATAGCTCCATATGCCATGCGACCTTCTGTTATTAAATGCAAAGTATAACTTTGATCCATTTATAGTAGAGATATTTTGACATACCCGGTAAATAAAATTTATAAAAAGTCACCATCACTTGATACATTTATGTTCAATAAAGGTCAAGGCCATATTAAGAGATCAAAGTACCCCAAAATTATTGTTGCAGAAAGCACAAATTTGTTTCACGTCTTGCACAAAATCAGTCTGAAATTTAAATGAATTCCAAAACCCCGAGGTGAAAAAACAATTCCTTTGACAAGCATACGTAAGAAGCCACCACTTTTCAGTAAGCATTTGTATATATGAATACAAGTAGAAATCTGGATGTTCAAATTAATGCACATCGTAATGAAAATATAAATCTATTATACAGGTTGATCTGGTTTTATTGTTCCTACAGTCTTGCAATACCGGTACACTAGAAGTCCAATTGAAAAGCTTGCATAAATTACCAGTTAACACTTTTTTTCAGATTAGATTCCGTAAGACCTGTTTTCCAAAACAATTTTTTACACAGCTATATCAAATAGAAATTTGTTTGTTAAAAGGAATATATTGAATATTTTGCGACATCCTAAAACTTAGGAAGAAATTTATTGACAAGTAAAAAGACGACCGTCACGAACAAACGCAGGGGAATAATAAAAATGTACCCAACCTATTTATCCCCAGGGAGGATTATATTTAAAAAAAAAACACTTATAACATAGGTTTACGTACCAATTGTTGGTGTGGTTGTAAATGGATAATCGTCGATGCCTGCAAAAAAATAATAAGTCAACAAGAACACACGTAAACTATAGCAATATAAAAATTAATAATCATTATTTTGGAGTTTGCATACAGCTTACCAAAGTAACATTTTCTGTGGTAGTAGTCCCAGCCGGGTATATCTTGTAAGAAATAATGACTCTCTGTCCATCTATTGACGTCACTTAATTGACAGGTTTGCTTTTCCAGGTTGTATTCAAATGAGCGACACGTAAACTGCGTGGATGAATTACAAACCTGATTACATTCAGAGAGGGAGGAATTTATCAAAACGAGGCTATTGTGAGCCACCATCACTGATGCTATCTCCTTCTGGAATCTGCAGGCATCTAAAGAAAAAGTTAATATCGTACTTTTTTTTTCTTTTTGATAAAGCCTTCTTTATAAAAATGGTTGCTTGTCCTCTCCCTTCCGACCGACAGAACATTTTTTTTAATTCCTCTTATCCTGTGAACAAATTAAATTTGTTGAAAAAATGTTTTTCCATCCAGCTACCAACCAATAATTTTATCCTGAGTTGTAAGAGAGCAAAAAAAAAAATATTTTAAAGATGGCCCGATGTAATATTCTTACATTAAGTTATTACACAAAGATCCCCATTCATTATGTTTGAAACATAGAAACTGATTATCTACAAATCAGTTAACAGTTTTAAATTATTCAAGATAAAACAATATGAATTCTTTTTTGTAATTAATTATTTTTGTAATAAATAGAAAAATGCTTAAAAAATCACCCTCTTTGAACTGGCAAATAAAGGGTTTAGATTCGGTACATATGCCTTCGTACCACCAGTATGGATGTTTCAGGGTAACCGAGGCACACTTCTTTGATCTGTCATATCGGTTCGGTTCATATTTCCAGTTGGTTTCTGTAAGTGGTTCCCCATTCACCCAGTTCCAGTCCATGTACTCCTCTTGTGAAAGACCAATCCATACTGTCTGTGAACTAAAACAATTCCATAATATTATTCTTATTATTATACCATGCATACTTTGTTCAGAGGCAAAAAGTGTATTTTTAGGTCACCTGAGTAAACTCATATGCTCCATATGTTTCATTGCTGTGGCCTTCAACTCGACATCTTGATATATCGACGACGTATTGTCAATTAACAATAGTTACTTTTATTCCTACGTCGACACGATATATCCTGGTAAGCTTGAGATTAAAGATACCACAGATTCAGACACATCTGTTTGGATACTTGAATATTTCACTTGAAAAAGACAATAATGGTAATCTAACAATCAAGCTATATGATAAACGTGATGGCTAACTTTTCTATCGTCAACTTCGCTTACTTATGCAGCAATATATATGTACCTTCATCACCTGCATACGGAGTTTATATATATCTCAGTTGATTAGATACACAAAAACATGCTCCACATATGAACAATTTCTAAAATGAGGTAAATTATTGACAAACAAGTTGATGAAACAATAATATCAGCAGTCTCGTTTTAAGTCATCATTTCGTAAATTCTATGGTCGATAAAATGACCTTGTCAGCAAATACATTTTATCTTTGAGTCAAATGCTGACTGACGTTTTTCATAATAATTGTTAGACTAAGTTCATTATTTATACACTGAATTGACGACGGATTTTCCCGTTATTTCCCGATCATGACAAAGAACACACGGCGGGTGTGACCGGTCGGCAGGGGATGCTCACTCCTCCATGGCACCTGATCCCACCTTTGATGTTTTGGAGGCCCGTTTATGCTCTGCTCCTATTTTGTATTGTTTTATGGACTTTGATATTGAATACTGTTCGTAATCTCCATATCCTTCATTCTACAAACATTGATATGAGACAAAACAGTGTATACTTTTCTGTGGATGTTAGGTTAGCCTCTGGGATTATGGATTTATCATTCAGAACTGCTAATATCCCACCCTTTGATTTGCAAAAGTCGTTGGCTTTGGACCATGACAAAGGGCCCTCAAACATCAGGACTCTCAGTGGTTGTAATAGTTGTGAGGATACTAGAAATTAAATTAAAAACAAAATAATTTTTTTATTGAAGTAATGTGTGAATTTTATTATTCTTTGAAATACGGCATAATTACCAATATATACAATGAAATTAAATTTTAATGATAAACCTCGATGATAAGAATCCTACATTTTAAATCTCAAAATGTTTCATGAATATAATACTCTTCCTGTCATAACAAAGATACCTGAAGTTTTGGGGGTCGTTGAGACTGTAGAATCTATTGTTGATGTTGATGAAACAGTTGATAGAGTGGAAAAAGTTGATGAATATTCAGGAAGATCGTTCTGCAACAATGCTACAAGCATTTTGAGTAGAAATTATCATTTTTTTACATTAATTAGATTTTTTTTATTACTAAAGGTATATGTAATTGATAAATTTAAGTCCCACCTGTTATGCAAGTTTTGTGGTAGTAATCCCAGCTTCTAACGTTGAAGGCGAACTGATTTGATTTTTGCCATCTGTTGGTCTGAGAGAGTTGACAGTACTGGCTGACCGGATTGTACTCGAAGCTGCGGCAGACAAACTCTGTGACGGTCTCACAAAGATCGTGACAGTGCTGCCACGTGATCGCAGTCTTAGTGAAGATGTTATTGCCTCGAATACTTGTTTGTTCGTAAATCCTGTACTGACATTGTCCTGAAGTTGTAAGTTAACATTTCACTTTTTTTCATAATGATGGAAAAAAACAAAACAAAGTCAGTTAGATTTAAAAAACACAATCAATAAACAATAAAAAACTTTTAAAATATGTTTTTTAACCTCCTACCCCCGATTTTTTGATTACATGTTCCTAAAATTGAAAGTATGTAATGTAGCATATCTGGTTTAGCATCTTCTAGCCAATGCGCATTTTTCCACAAAAACGTTTGCTTTTTGAAAAAGATATTTGTTTCCAACATTATTTTTTTTCGGCTATGCTAGTAGTTTGAATCTGCACCGATGTTTTCGAGCCCTCCATCTAAATCATGTCGCGTATATATGTCTAAAATTATCCGTAAGCACAAGCACAGGAAACCGATAAAAAGGGTTCCAAAATAAAATCCACTAAATGGATACAATTGTAGTGAGAGAATAAAAATCAATGCATTTATTCTCAATCAAGTTTTTAAAAACAAGACTTTCCTCCAATAAATGTTGTTTTAATTCATGAATGAAGAAGAGTACATAAGACCTTGATTGCATGCTTAGTTTTATTGTTGCAAGTCCTTTTTGTCGCTTGGTTATCAATTTTACGTGCAGCTTAAAATTACAACGTATCTTATTTATTTCAAAGAATAATTGGATATTTTCCAATATTTTCTGAATTCACGACTAACATATAGGGATTTAATATATAATTTCGAAAGAGGCATAAAGAAGTATATTGCTAGCGTATCCTTAGGCTTATTCTTACTCATAGAAACTTGTAGAACAAAAAGTCAGAACGCAAAAAAGCGTTTTCTTTCTGAAATATGCTTAATATAGCTACATAGCTGTATATCGTTTTACTTCCCTCTCGAGAATTTTTCACTCTTATGGAGACGCCACCACTTGTCGGTGGAGAGCTGCAAAGTTTTTCATATGCTCGGCACTCAGGGCCATTGAGCAGGGAGGGATCTTTTTTGTGCCAGCGCCTACTGCGACGCTGGGCCTCGGTTTATACGTTCTCATCCAAAGGACCGATCTCCTCGTCTCACAGTGAGATTCGAACCGTGACCTACGGTTTCCTCAGAAGGACCTATCTCCACGTCCCACAGTGAGATTCAAACCCGGACCTAAGGATCAACTCTTTATTTCGCGACTCTAGAGCAGACGCACTTACCACTGCGCCACACGGGTGACTGCTTAATATAAAAAATAAATATTAATATTTTACCTATAAAAAAGATGACGAAGCTCTTCAACTCAATTTTTACATTTACACGTATAAGTAGAGAAAATTAAATAGCGTAAAAATACGTAGTGTCTTATCAATATATTAACTTATTCTGCGCGTTTTTTGTGCAGTATTCTTAAACAACGATGAATCGATCAGCTATAAAGTACAATATTTTAGGAACATTCATTATTAATCATTCCCTTAGTTTTTTTTAATGTGTGATGATAAATAACAAAAAAATTCCTATTCTCTTCTGTTTGGATAATAGACGCGGTCGACAGAGTTCAATACCGAGGAATCATTTAAGCTATCAATGGATCAGACATATTCAATAAATTATGGTCTGGGATGACGTAAAACTTTATTTGTGATTCTTGTAGGGTTGCTGAAACTTTTTTTTATCAGATATTACGTGATTTAAAAGAACGCTTTAAGATAAAAATCAGTGATCGTTAATATCATTAAGATCAATATGTACCACAGAACTGTCTTCCTTTTCACATTTTCGAACTTCTAAACATAAAACATGGGTCTAAGCATATTTATCAATAAATTCTAGGTTAGTCGACCAACATGCAGTATGACTGTCCGTTTGTCTGAATGTCTGCCTATCTGCCCCACTATATGTTATTTTGTCTGAGATGAAAGAGCCGAGACCGTTTATACGGTTCTGGAATTGTGCGCCATGAATTACAGCAGGAAGAAGGTTTTCAAATCATCTCGTCACCCTAGTGGCGGAGTGATTAGAGTGTCTTCTCTGATCTAGAGCCGCGAAGTAAGGAGTTGATCCTTACGTCGCGGTTCCGAATCCCACCGTTGGACGTGGAGACCAGTCCTTCGGATGAGACCTTATAAACCGAGGTCCCGTTTTGCAGTAGGTGCTGGTACGAAAGGAAACCTCAATGCTCAATGGCCGTCAGTGATGAGTATAGGTCAAACTTTGTAGTTCTCCACTGCGAAGTGGTGGCGTCTCCATATGAATGAAAAATTCTCGAGAGGGACGTTAAACTACATGAAATCGATCAATCAAACCCTCCTTACATAGCTTATTTTTACAGACGTACAAGTAATTTAATTACAATACATAATACTGTGTTTAATTAATAAGCTTTCAAGTTAACCTTGCACCAGGTTACAATTATTTTGATGATGATTTAGAAGAGACACAATTTGCAAAAAGTAATAAAATATATAATAAATTCGTACGTGTACATTCAAAATCAGCACTGGTGTAATTTTAACCAGCTGATTGTGCATAGCTAATAAAAATTAACAAATATACGTTTCTAAATGTTTTCTTTTATATCTGAAATGAATAAAAGCCAATGAAAATGTGAACCTTTTTGCAACTATCATTCATATCAGGACCTTATGGAATCAAAGTATCAAAGTATTCACATGCTATAATAGACTGCGAGAGTTTAGTACCTGTTTGATACTGACACAGAAAAGGCAGTTCTTGAAGACAATTGTATTGTGAAGACGTTCTATTGCCATTTAGAGTTATGGCATCACAAACATGCAATGTTATCTCATCTTTGAAATATCCACTACTTGTATCCCCATTCCAAACAGTTATGTTTCTGAAAAATGAATGCAAACAATTTAAGCTCACTTTTGCCCATTCCCCGCCTTTAGAGGAGGGTGATAAAACTAGTACTGTTTTACATTTTAGCTTCTCAAAAGGGACATTAGTTATACAAATAAATGAATTAATTCAAATGTTCTTTGTAACATTAAAACATTTTTTTTTAATTTAGCACTTTTATACTCGAATAATTTAATTTAACTTCGAACACATCATTTGATTGGATAAAAGATTTTATCTATTTGGTATAACATAACTTCCCTACGTCACAATGAGTTACGTAAAAAAACGTATTACTCCGCTTGACGTTACTTTAAAAATTCAATCAATGTGAAGCCTTATTCTGGAGGGAAAATTGCCTCATTGTCTATACTGAAATTAAATTATAAGGAATAAAGCTTATTTCAACTTATATTATACGCTATAACAAAACTTGGGGCAGTTTACGCTATTTTATAAACCGCGAAGCGGTTTATAAAGCATAAACTACCCCAAGTTATGTTATATCGTATAATATAAGTTGAAATAAGCTTCATTCCTTAAGTATTCAGCGGCAAAGAAATTTGTTCGTAAGGTGCAAACAACCTCTCAAAGTTTTATAATAGGCACTAAAACTAAATATTTATTATCAACACTTGTATGTACATGTTCAAGTATGTACACATGTATCATAAAAAAAACACAGAAAAAATCTGCTATTAAACAGAGCACTTTGTGCATAGAATATCTTCTTTTCTTAAAAATCTATCAAACGTTTCATGTCAAACATTTTCTAATTAACTTTATAACTATGGTTTGCAGGATGGTGACTCTCAAATTTCAACATTTAGAAACATTAATAGATTTTAGCCATATTTAGAATGATTTCTTACACACAAATTTTTTGGTTTAATTTTAGAAGAACACAAAATACAGTTGTGGCATTTTCTTGTGATATTTATAATATGTTGAACTTGAGCTAACAACCAGAGACATATTATTTGGGTTTTTAAGAAATGTGGATTTAATATAGCAAATCATTAAGCTCCTGAAAAATCTACGAATCTTTTGCTGATGTTTCGTTTTTATTAAATTTAACTGACTATGGAGACATAAACTTTTTAGGCCCTGCATGTAATATTTTATACAGAACATAAGTAAACCGATGGCTCAAGAATGTAAATCTAAAACTAAAAGAGCTAAAGTTGATAAAAACAGACGTTAAGAAAGTTGAATAACAGGAAATAGAAAAACATGAAGACAAAAAACTTTTGACAATCGGAAGACAAAAAGATCAGCATTTTAGCTGACAAAAGTCTTTAAATTCCTCCTAAAGGGGCTTTTATGGATCCCAGATTACCAAAAGTGCAAATTTTAGCTTCTCCTCTCTCGCTGGGAGCAAAAATGTCATAACAGAATGGAACGTTAACAAACCATCTACCAAAGAAAAAATAATTGATTACTTGTAATGCAAGTTTGATTTATATTTAATGATTTAGTGATAAATCCTTTAGTTTTATGACTACGAACCACACACAGAGTTCTGGAAAGAGAATTTAAATTTTTGTATCAAATTTTCATTTAATGGCTACTAGATCTTTTATTCAGGATATTCAGGAAGAAGTTGGAGGTGCTGAGGTTTTTCTACACGTTAGATTGATTATGGTTTAAACAAAAAGAATATAAAACAAGTTTTTGGAACTTATATAGCACTATACTATTCGTATGTACACGGATACGTCTGTTCTTATCGGTCAATCAAATACATGTACATGTAATTGATTGTCAACTTCTTACCCTGAGGTATATATGTAAGTATGGGGATATCTTGATATAATTATAAGACCTAGATTCTTTTTTTCGTTTGCAATAATATACAGAATAAAGATTCCCTGGAATTAGCATCCTGGTATTACATATCTGTAGAAAATCATCTTTAAAAACAAAAAAGTTAACATTTGCGATTCTCCAATTGTACTCTAATTGCTTGGATTAGATATTTGAAAAAAAAGGTCTTTGAGCATGTAGAAACTAAAAACTAAGTTAAAAAAATTAATAGAAACTAAAAATAATTTGCCCCTTTTGAAATTACCAGAATGCTAGAATATTTTATCTTACTTTATTTGAGGGAGATCTTCTAAGATGTCCATTACACTAGAAATTTCTGAGAAATGGGCTAAAGTAGCTCCAACATTTGCACATGTATAATTAGCATTTTTCCAGTTTCGTTTAGTACTGTAGTACACAAAGGTTACAGGTGTAAATTCCATCCTACATGTGACTGAAAAAGAAAATATAGATTTAAATGGGTGACAATTTGCAATTTCAGCGATTCTCTTTTGTTATTTTTGGTATAGGGTGAGCCTGTGCTGAGTGATACAGAATGATTATATATATATATATATATATATATATATATATATATATATATATATATATATATATATATATATATATATATATATATATATATATATATATATATATATATATATATATACACTTACAGTCCTTCAAAAGTATACATTTATTTGATGAAATTTACATTTTTGAAGCAAATGTATATAATACCGAAGGCCCCATTTTACCTGACGCTTTTTTGGGGTCCAAACTTGAAGGTAATTCATCTTTTTTCAAGAAAAGAAAAACTTTGCATAAATTTAATTTTATTTATTCAATGTTGAATTCGAAGCAAATAAAACAAAATTAAACTTACCCAGAAATGTGACACTTAGCATGAACAATGACCTCATTGCTTGCCTGAAAAAAGTGAAAAAAAATCATTAGGGCCAGTTTCACAAGATATATCTTTATCTGATATAGAATACATGGACAAGCTTACCTTTGGAAGTTTGAATAAATCACACAAATTCCAGAGAACTTAGAATGCTAGGAAATTATTTACGGTTTTTCTATTCTTTTTACAATTCACTTTAATGTTATATACATGTATGAATTAATCAAATACTGTAAGACTTTATATATCTCCCAGCCACCTCCAACACAAAATTTGCATTCTTGTTTTTTAACACAACTATTGGAAGATGCTTAGGGGACTTCGCAAGTATGTATTGCATAACCAGACTCATTTATCTCGTTTCTATTGTTTTATCATAATGTAAGCACAGCCTTGGAAATGACACGACAATAAAACCATTGCCTGCGGAAAACAGCTGGTTTATTTCATGTTAACTATGGAATAAATTCATTTTTGATATGGTTTAAATTTAAAGATACCATTTCCCAAAGAAACAAATGCTAAAAATGAAAGTTGAAATGATTCGGAAGCTAAAATAAACCATTGTGTGCTTTAGAAAAAAATATGATTTTCTTTGTTACAATATAATTATTACGTGTGTATAGATTCTTCTTTCAATCGGTTTTAAATGACTTGATTACATACCTGGTAATTAGATACACGACATGTGTTTTTCTTATGGTATTTATATTCTCTCTAATTATGTTTTTTGACGTGTTCATGAAACAGCCTTCGTTGTAATATGCCTCCAAGACAGCTTTTGCTTCTGGTATCATAGATATTCAAATAACAAATACTAGAACGGAGACAAAATTGTTTTGTAATTGGTATCTTTCTGTCATAGATACAAAAGTGTTTATTGATAACTTATAATAGTGGAAAAGGTGAATAAAATTTCCTTGATCGTGTTAGAAATCAGTATTATCATGCAGCTAAACTTAAGCGATCTCCGACAAGGTGTTTGTAAAGGTAATGTTCAAAGGTTCAAACTTTTGGTACCCAAGGAAAGTTCTTGTGTCAATAAATATATACAACAAATAAAACAATCCTAACAATGATTGTTTATTATGGCCAAGGTGAAATTTCAAATATTGTCAAATTTTAAATTTCAAATATTGATCAAACTCCTAGATCAAGTTCAAAAAGGACAAAATTGTTGATATTAATAGAAACATCTTTAAACAAGAAATACACTTGTGAATAATAAAGGTATGATACTAAAAGCTCAAACCTAATGGCAAAGATAAAAGTTTTTTGAAAACTAATTTAAACTCTAAGGTCAAGGTCGAAAGATAAATGCTATAATTGTATATTATTATGTTCTTCCTGTGGCAGTACCTTTCTTCTTGTATCAATTATTTTACTCTTTACCTCTACCTTGGAGTTCGATCCTTGTTTGCCAAAACAAAGAAAAAAGACCAAACAAATTTAACTGTTTCATGAAATTGTATAATTCATATAGAATATGTTGATAATGAATATTGTCGCATATCTGCGGTGATTTTCTTTGATCTTTCTTTGGTGATATATCCCATATCACATACTAAGTATGCTATAATACTTTCCATGCCCCTTCATATATCACTGCAGGAGGCAGAAATCAGGTCATTTTTTAATAAATTTTATAAAGGTCTTAGAGAAAGCATATCGACCGAGCACGAAGTGCGAGGTTGATATGCTTTCTCTAAGGTCTATATATCGAGGGATTGTACCGAATCGGAAGGCTACAATTGTTTTATCATTTTTTTAATCAGTTAATAAGAAATGTCTTAAAATCATTCTTTCTGATACTCAGTACCTTCTCATACAAGGCATTGTTATGTCATTTGCATTATGAAAACCTAGTACCTAGCAGTATCTGTATTTAGAAACATCAAGTTTATAAAGACTATTGTGACGTCAGTACTATTGTTGCTTCACAGAAGAACGTTTCAAATTTTAGAAACAGCAGGTTTATAAACTTCCACCAGTCTATAATACTTTTTATACTTGATCATGTGATCCACTTTGAGCCAATCAGATAGTTAGAACAATACAGAAAAATAATAATGTGAATTATCCCTTACAAAATGTACTATAGTAAACTATAGTTAATCAAAGTTTTCACTATAGCAAATTGAAATATTTTACCGTGAATTTCAGACCAACATATTTAATTTTCTAAAATTCCCACATGTAATTTTTTTTATTTTAAAAATTTATTTTTATATATTTACATTTTTTCAAAACAATGCATCATCGATATGTAATTTTAGAAACATAAAGACTCTAATTTTTTTTTAAAATCAAGATTTACGTTCCATGGTAAAACACAATGTATCAAAGTATCTATTATAGTAATTTTTTTTAAGGGATGAAAGTTCAAGTTGATCAAATTTAAGGGGCAAGGTTATTGTGTTTTGGACAGAAAAAGACAGAAGAGCAGAAAGGGCAAAAACTTTATACCCAAGAATCTTTGAAGAATAATAAATAAACATAAACTATAAAACTATTTTGATAATAATGTATAATATTACCATAATGATAGATAAAGAGTACGGTGATAGTTGTAGGTGAGCTAAAATGAATGAATAATTATAGAAATATCAAAACATAAATTATAAAAATATTTTGATAATAATATATAATATCATCATGATAATAGACAAAGAATGTGGTGATAGTTGTAGGTGAGCTAAGAATGAATGATTAATTATAGAAATATCAAAACATAAATTATAAAGATATTTTGATAATAATATATAATATTATCATAATAATAGATAAAGAGTATGGTGATAGACGTAGGTGAGCTAAGAATGAATGAATAATTATAGAAATATCAAATAAATTGACGCAATTTTCATTATGATGTATACACACATGTATTTTTTTTTTAAAAGAAGGGAAAAAATACTATCAATTTTAGAAGGAAATTTCAAAAATTGATCGTTATTTTAAACTGAAATATGCTTTTATATTTAACCTATCTAATATAATATAATTTATACAAGTGCAACATAAGCATTAACTGTTAAGATTTAAAATAATGTAGTACATGTACTTACATTTAAGACCTGGATAGATGTTCTACTTCTTTCAGGCAAGCATTCAACACTGTATCACAGGAATATAATCATTTTACGAAAATCTTCCACGTATTGATTCCCATCAAAGAGCATGAAATCACTCCTCTTACGGTGTTATTGACAGCTTTATCACTGACATCTTTTAGAATGTCTCTTTGATGTTCTGAAACTTAGGAAGGGATAATTAATCAAAAAATAATTAATCATTAAACTCCTTTGATAAACACATGGTGAAAATATATCAAAATAATAAATAAGTTAAAGTAATCAATAATTATGTTTTCCGAATAAATTGACCGAGACCACTTTAAATCAATCATTGTTTCAATTACCATGATATATATGTTTAAAGAGCTAGATTTTTAAAATAATTGGTTTGAAGAGTTCCTTTGAAAACATAGAAACTACCTTGCAAGCACGAAACACATTCTGATACAGATCTTCGCAAATACCGTATGACATCGAAAGTTAATATGACAATAAATTATCATAGAAAAGATCGTCCTTCATAAAAATTGTGTTACATTTACTTGATAAAATGAGTAATTATTTTTAGTGTATACTAAAGTGATTGAATCATTTATATATTATTTTTCAACAACAATCTACATTTTATTCACAAAGTATAACAAAATGAAATATTATAGAAAGACACTAAGACATTGAATAGTAAATATATTTATGAGCTGTTTTAATTCTTAGCTTCAGCATAATTTCATTAAAAATTACGGAGAATTAAAATCTCTTGATTTAAATCAAACTCACAAGTAAGCAGTGATATTTTTAGATAAGGGAAAAAGATGATATGTAATCCTTATCATGGCTACTTTTGAAATGAAAATGAGTTTAATTAATTGCATATGATGCATGTTGTTTGCAAAAATCATTCGAAAAAAGGGGCCTTCGCCCCTTATAATAATACAATTGGCATCTGAAAGAATTTCACAAAAATGGATATATTTACTCAGTGTATGATCAATAATCACACTAAGTTTTTAATCATAATTTTCAAAGCAGGTTTTAAAATTTATTTGTATTTTTTTTTTATTTACAACTCATTATCAAAATTTTAGCAATGCCTCTTTCATGAACTACGGAAATATTTCACATTGATTGAAAAATTCCTTCCATTAACCATACAAATTATGTGATCTAGATTCATTAAGAATCATTTCACCCAACAATATAAAACCCAGCCGATGTCAAGTAAGCGACGAATGTAAAATGATTTAACAATCAATTAATCTGGTGCGTGAAGGGTTGGTTACATTTATCTATAATTACTGCGCATTTTGTTGAAAACTGGACGACCGGGAGCCCGAGGTCAAATGTAGATTGCACTGAAACATTAATGTATTTGGTTGAATTCAGAGCAAGAGTCTTATCTAGGTCAAAAACCTCTGCAGGACACAACAATTGTAGAAATGTTGTCTACTTTTTCCTAATCCTAAACTACCCAATTGACTAATGTTTTTGTTTTGAATTGTTTTGTATATTGCTTCAAAGTAAGTAAATGGAAAAGTAAATTGACATTTCTAGAAACCAACCATTTCTTTTTTATGTTAACAGAATGATTTTACTTGGAACTAGAGATGATAAGATTTATTGAAGTTGAAAGACACCACGTCCACCTATAGGTGGATATATCTAATCCTTTTAAGATTTACCCAATATATAAAAATACTCTTATAACCATTTACCTTGTCACTTATAATTACCATCTGCAAAATTCCTTTGTGAAAAATAATTTTAATTGTACACACAGTGACTGTGTGTTGTTTATCAAACAGACAAATGAGAGAGAGAAAGAGGGGAAAATGGAGAGATAAAGATTCCAATATATAAAAATACTATAACCATTTACCTTGTCCCCTCTTTTTTGTTAAAAAGATGTTGCAAACAGACAAATGAGAGAGAGAAAGAGGGGAAAATGTGTCTGATTGAAAATATCTATGTGGTTTCTGGAAACCAGGTATACCAATAATCTAATGGAATTCCATGGATATCAAATGTGCTCCGTTTATAGCAGATCCTTTTCTGTATTCACATGAAGGGGGATTTTTCCTAATACTTTATGTGAAGAACAAAAACATTTGCTGTGGCCTTCAACTGGACATGTCGATAAATCGATGACGTATTGTCAATTAATATTCGTTATTTCCTTTCTTATGTCGATACGATATATTCAAGTGAGTTTGAAATAAAAGACAAAACAGAGTCTGACAGATGTTTTTATCATTTTGATATAATACTGAAAAAGACGTTAATGGTAATCAAAGCTTTATCATAAATGATGATTTTCACTTTTCAATTGTTAACATCTTCCCTAACTTAATCAGCAATATATGTGTACCTTATATTTTCTACATATGTAAAATGTCTAAACTGAGGTAATTTTTTGACAAATTGATGAAGCAAGAATTAATATCAGCAGTCTCCTTTAAAGCAATCACTTCGTTAGTTCTATAGTCGAAACAATGACCTCGTAAGCAATTACAATTTATTATTGCTAGCGCTCTCGAGCGCTAGCAACTACGTTAGTCCAAATTCCTTGAATACGCATGTTCGGCCGCCATGGCCGTGCATTCTGGGAAAACTGAAAACTACTACAGATAGACCGTACGATAACAATTTCGTTGTATCATGTTGTAGCATGAATTAACTGTTTATTTATTGTGTAGCTTACACTTTAAAGATAACTTCATATTTATAATATTTCAAATTCTGGCGGGTTTTTTTGCTTACGGAAAAGCCCGAGTCATTATCTGAGTGTTCTAAACAATGACAAGGGAGTTTTTTTTTTTTTTTTTTTTTTTTCTAATCTAAGCATAACCAAAGATAGATTCTAATTTCTGATTGGTCAATTCAGCCAATCTTACATATTCCAGAAACAGAAACAAGAATTTACACTAAAAATAACGAATAAATCCACTATTTGTGTTTAAAAAAAAATTAATGTGTATGGCTTTTAACCTAACATATCTTGACAAAGATGACCCAAAGGACCAATTAAGGTACTTCACATGCGTTCCAAACTCTCTGGACTCTTTACACAACATACACTTTGAGTTATTTTCTATACAGTATTCCTTTCAACTCCCATGTATTTTCTTTGCTAAATTGCCAAGAAATTCTCTTCTTTAAATCAGCCCATACATGCAATGTCTCAATCGGCATCTTCTTCTTATTATATAGAGCCCCCCCCTTCTCCAGTAAAGGTCATAATTATATGTTCCGTTGCGCCAAAAGTCCAATAGGTCACCCACCCACCTTGTTTCTTTACCTATGTGTCTATAAAATTGGTACTCTTCACAAAACAATAATAACTTTATCACTCTTCAGCCTCGATAAAAATTAAAGAATTCAGCAAAATAAATCACTTGATCACGGATCTTCCTTTCTGTGTTTAAAAATTGCTACGGCGCTAGCTCACGTATCTTTTTAAAAGATAAACTTGTTAAGTAATATGCTGACTGCCGTTTTTTTTAAAAATATTGATTGTTATATACATGTGTAGTCCATTGTTTACACGCTGATTTGTAGACGGATTTTCCGTACTTCCTAGATCATGACAAGGAAGACACGGCGGGTGTAACCGGTCGGTATGGGAAGCTCAGTTCTCCATAGCAGCTGATCCTATCTCTGATGTTTTGCATGTCCATGTTTCCTCTGCTCCAGTTTTGTATTGTTTAATGAAGGTACATGTATGAGCTTGAAAACGGTTCGTTATATGCATGTATTTAATGTCTTTTATCTTCCTGACCTACCTTATTTTCATTAAGCTAATAATTATCAAAAGTGAATATCTGGGGTACATCAGGTTATAGTAGAGCTCGACTTCAACTCCCGTCAAAGACACTATTAATTTCAGTTTTAAAGAAAAAAAATTATTTGTTCATCGTATATAATACTTATATATACCAAAAGCAGAGAAAGATTTTTTAAGTCTTAGAATAAATAGATTTTAACCACATGATCAATAGAACTCCTCACTTAGATAAAAACCCCTGCACACATGGGCGCATGAATTTCACAATCGTGGTAGAAGTCCCGATGTCTACATGTAATAAAATACTACAAACAGTTTTACTTATTGTCAAGAAGTTAGGAAATTTTTGTTTGAGGATTACATTGAGTTGCTGGTGTTTGTCATATCCCTCAAACTTCATCGGGAAGGGGATACAAAATCCTTATTATTTTGTTTTCGCGCATTTATATACTATGAAATCAGTCGTGTTTTATGCTTAAATTGTTTGAATTTGGTTCAAAATTTCGAAGGAAGAAGATGCAAGAACTTTAATGTTAACAAGAGTAAAGTAACCTAGTCTTGTACAATAGTTGATTACAAAAATACAGATACATTTAGCAATATTTACTGGAGAAACACAAGTGACCATATTAAATTGTGAAGGAATATAGATATAGTACCTAATTATGCACTCCTTACACTTACATGTATATCTAGGTTGTGAAAGAGAGAGATAAATATGTTGCTGTCGTATAGAGGTGCTGTCTTTTACTTGCAGGGGCATAATTAAAAGAAAATATTAGATTTTTTGCTCAAATGGTCTATTGCCATTAATCAGTTCATCAGTGCAGAATCATCTTGTGTGAAATAGGGAAAAAAGAAACCGAAGTATCTTGTCTTAATTAAGAATACGCTTGGTTGACAATTTCACAATTATCTTTGATTAATTTTGTTCTCTGGTAAATGTATCATTTTCAGTATCTTGCTTTGTAACAAGCACTTCATCGTAGCACTCAATATGGAGGGAATTTTGCACATAGTAGAAAAAGTATTTGTCAGCAAAACCACACTTTTGATTATTATTTTTTGCACTAACACATTGGATAATATTTTACTAACGTCAGTTGGTAAGTACAGTCATATATCAATTTTTAAAGAATTTATAATATAAAATCCGCAGTACATAAATTCATACAATTGGTAGTCTTTTATAAAACCGAGGATTGAAAGAAGTAAAAAGAAACATATTTGATTAAGTTTGATAACAGACTCAAGCTAATTTTAAAAAGTTTTGGAGAAAGTATTTTACATAAATGAATTAAAGATGTCTTTAATCGATAGATATTTCTCAAGATTTTAAAATTAATCATTTTTAACGAACATGGTAATTACTAATAATGTTCGTTAAATTTAATTGGTTTTGCTTTAGGAAAACAGTTAATTTATCAAATGTATCCATCATTCATTGTTGACAAATATAGCACATACTTACTTTGAAAAAAATCTATATATTGAAGTACCCATCATCCCCGAGGTAATGATGAGTAGCGACAGAAACGAAAAAAGTGTCACAGCTAGAAATTACAGCATTAAGACCGACACATTGTCCCACCACAGGAATGCTTCACTCAGCTTTACAAAACAATTACTCCAAGAGTCTTACAAAGCCCTGGATGAGAATAGTCAAGCCGGTTTACTTCTGTCCTCTAAAGCACTCATTCAGATTGCGGCAAATCCTTGTGTTGGATATCTGTCAGAAAGGTACCTTTAAGAACTAGAATCAATTTCTTAAAAATATATATAAAAAGAAACTTAGCAATTAGTCTAAATGTGTTGATGAGTATCTTAAAAAAATAAAGAAAGAAGTGTGCAAGGTAGAGTATAGTTGAATAACTTTCTATTGACCAGATATGGATACATTATTCTTCTTGCTGTCGGAACTTTCTTACTTTTCATATCTTCAGTTGGTGAGTTCAGAATGATAAATTTTACTTTAAAGTTTCATGTCACAATTTACAAAATGCATACATTTATTTCCACTTTGCTGTCCAGTGTTATAACATAGAAGAGCTAAATTCAGGGATCTAAACAATCTTGCTTTAAGTCAGTTTCTCGAATAATTCTGTTACCATATCTAATCAGAGGTCATATATTGGCTTATATGTTAAATATCTATCTGTAGACCATCGATTTATACTACCATACATTTGACCTTATTTGATTTTTATCAAATTAGTCCTTTTTAAGATTTTTAGTTCACTGTTTGCTATTGTAACGTTTCTTTCATTTGTTCCTTTTTATAAGTTTACGCATGCGCAGGAACGTTTAGCTCCTTTCTTGCCGGACGACTTGCTCACGGAATTGCATCATCATTTTCATCCATTGCCGGTAAATATCTTTTTCTCAATATTTGATCGACGTGACTATTCTCATATTGGTTATCCTTTGTCTGAAAGCCACATCTCAATTTTCAAATGTCCTTTTCTTTACTGTTTATATTTTTCTTTCTGTAAAATGTACAATATCACATAGAATCGCCTTATACATATATAACTTGTTTCAAAATTGGACTTTGATACTTATTTTTATAATATATAAATATATATTTTTAATAAACATCACGATAAAACGGTTTCTTCAAAGGGATGAGTATATTGGCTGATCTTTATGAGAGTGACTATGAACGAAGTAAAGTGATGGGCGTGGCCATGGGAGGAGTGGCTCTTGGAGTTGTTGGTAATTTATAATGTAAAAGAAAACAATGATGTTTAACAAAATCATATTTCATACAAAAATATACACAATGAACAGTATCACTGTTCAGAATATACCTTAGCTTAAGCTGCATCAAATATACCGAATCTACCATTTTGCAACAACGCTATGCATGATAAATCTCAGAATTTCATATTGAGTGTACATGTATATACATATATATACATTTATATATATATATATATATATATATATATATATATATATATATATATATATATATATATATATATATATATATATATATATATATATATATATATATACAGTATATATATTAATTTCACGGGATAAATATTTTTTTCATCCTTGGAACAAACCATTAAATAAACAATTCAATAAAAAATTATAATTTTTGTAATTTCAATTTTAAATGCAACTACAGTTAAATGTCGATGCAGTATACTCTATAAGCATGAAAATGTCAATATACACATTAAAACACCAAAACACAAATTATTAGCTTTTACATACATTTTTTTATATGTAATTGATATCTCGAAAAAAGATATATAAAGATATGCGAAAAAATATTTGAATAAGGGTGAAGTTTATATGTATTGTAAAATTTTAAGTCTGTTTTGTAATTTTTCTTTCAGTTGGATATCCTTTTGGAGGCTTTCTGTATTCGTTTTGTGGACAATCGTCACCATTTATCATTTTATGTATTATGATTATCGTTGATTTTGGTAAGACGTTTAACCTTTTTAAAAAACAAATTAAATGTACTGTACAATTCCAATTTAGAAACATATGCACAAACAAACAAATATTGTTTTCAAAACCTTTTTAATGAGTTGTGTTTGTTAAAATAATTAAATCTTTATTTGAACTTCATTAAAACACTGGTTTTTACAGGTGTTCAAGGTTGCATCATCAGTAAAGCATATTGGATGCAGGTAAATTTCATAAACATCAATTAATCTACAAAAATGCAACTGGCATATGTTCTTTTTAAAATTGTTTCATATACACCTAGGTCTCCAGAAAAACAACCACTTCTATAGTTGAGCTAATGAAAGACCCTTTGATACTTACCACGAGCGGTAAGTAAATATCTAGCATTAAATGACATTATTCAAGAAATTGGTGTAAATTGCGATGAAAAAAAGAATTCTGAAGGTTTTTGATAAGTTTGGTCTTTTTTAGCTTAGAAAAAAAAATCATTTTTACTATTCATTTAGTAATAACTGATATATAGAAATTCGAAAATAAATAATATAATGAAATAGCACTTTTCCTTATGTCAACAACTATCTTAATTGTTTTAATATATGCTACCTAATATTTTAAATTTTAATTTGTCAATCAACCATTGTAAAATTATGAATGTTTATATTCCTCTCCAAATAACAATTTGTTTTTCATTTTAAAATGAAGAGGAAATATGCTACGAAGTAAATTTATAATGATATCTTCCTTTTAAAAAAAAATATATTTTTATTAACTTTTTTGTATTACTACGTACACTAAAGATTGTTTATGAGATAAATTTGAATCAATAGGAATAATTATGCTAACCACAATGGCAATGTCGACTCTGGAACCTACAATACCAATATGGATCCTCTATACCATGAAGGCACAGAACTGGCAATTAGGTAATTATAAGTATAAATAATATATGTCTTATTTATGTAAACCCACTAACAACAGTTTAACTCTGTTTGATATGAAGAAACAAAATTAAGATTATGTGAATTGAAAAATGCCATTTATTTACATTATAAATGACTGTGTGAAAAAAAACACAAAATATACATATATACATACGAGGGGTTATAAAAAAGTTCGTGGACTGAGGCTATAAAATTAGCACTATATAGTCTGAGCTTACGAAATTATTACAGAACATAAAACAACAAAAAATAAACAAATATTGAAAATTTTAGCTTGATACGTTCATTATTTCTTAAATTATTATGAAATAAAAACGACATTATAGCATCATCCGGCGCCGTCGCCGTTTAGTTTTATGTGGTCCGACAACGTCATTGTTTTTCAATGTCTGTTTTTTCTACCTCATTCACTTATTTTGATGAGATTCCCTGGAGCTGAGGAAGGACTTCAATCCGTCTTGTTTTTATGACTAAACAATGTCATGAACAGTGGCTTTCAATGCATATGGTATTCCAAAATCTACAACACATGATCAACGTCATTTTTTGACGTGATTGATTTTTTTACACCTTGACTTCAAATCAAAGTTAACTGTGCATTCCTTTTCTCTCTGAATCTATTTTAGCATTAAAAAACAAGTTACATTGATGCATATTATTTCTCCTTAGCCAGTTTAAACATTTTCTATGTGTGTACCAGTTTTTCTAGCGGCGAAACCTTATAGAATGTTGAAAAAGGAAACCCCTTCCCCCTTTTGACGTCATTTTCAAGGCAATATTTGATTGGATACTCCATATAAAATTTACGATAAAATTTCATAAAACTTCCAGAATGAGGTAAAAATTTACTTTTTTATGGAACAATAGTGTCCGAACACATACCTAAATTAACGGGCTATTTGGATGTCAAATGTTCATACCATAATAGTTTTTCTTAGCTACAATTAGGTTAAAAAAACGTCGTTACGAGGTTGCGCCGTATGGACATACCAATGCTTACAAAAACATTACTAATTTATTAAAAAATAAAACTTGAGATCTGTGATTTATTCTATAGATAGAAAAGAGGATGATAACTAAATATTTTAAAATTCATTCATGTACCTAAAGCGTGTTTAATTTTATGGCGCTAGCTAGTCCACGAACTTTTTGAAAACACCTCGTATATTGAAGAATCAGAAAAATTGAACAATTGAAAATATAGTCAATTTTGTTTCAGCAGATACCAAAGGTGGAGTATAAAAATTCGCAAACACTATAATCGTACATATTTTTAGCAAACTAAAACATAAACTTGATTGATTGATTGATTGTATACTGTTTAACGTCCCTCTCCAGAATATTTCACTGATATGGAGACGTCACCATTGCCGATGAAGGGCTGCAAATTTAGGCCTATGCTCTGCACTTACGGCCTTTGAGCAGGGAGGGACCTTTAGCGTGCCACACCTGCTGTGACACGAGGCCTCGGTTTATACGGTCTCATCCGAAGGACCGCCCCATTGAGTCGCCTTTTACGACAAGCAAGGGGGTACTGAGGACCTATTCTAACCCGGATCCCCACGGGGCCATAAACTTGAAAAACTATTCTAAAAGAACATATATCAAACAAAACCATTCAAAGATAACGATGCTGACACAGCAGTAATTACAGATGGTGCTGGGGCGGAACGGATATCTGTCTTATTTTTTTCCCTTCATTCACATTAATATAACATTTTGAAACTGCATTTTTAGCTAAAAGCAAAATGCATGGACATCTTTTGAATAAAAAGTTTAGTCGCCTTCTTGGCGCAGTGGTTGATTAAGCTTAAGTCAAACTGGATTACCCCCTTTTGATAGTCTGTTATTTGAAGTTAGTCTTTAATTCTTGTTTTTTTTTCTTCAAAAATATCTTTAGTGTACAGCATACTCATATTAAGACAATTATACTCATAAAAAGGGTTATTTTTATAATTAGGTTTAGTTTTCCTACCAGATAGTATTGGATACCTAATTGGAACTAATGCCTTTGGGGTAGTCGCAAGGAAAGTAGGAAGGTAATCAATTAAATTAATGAACTTCTTAAAAAATTAAATCTCTTGCGAGTGAAGTGATGAAAAATTATTGTTTCATCTTCAACTGCTTTTCGCATTTTTATAATCAAAATATTGATTTGATGTTAATTATGGAGATGGGAACACTATTAATTTTCAACTGTATCTTTTCAGATGGATATGTTCGATGTTTTGTATGATTTTAGTTGGATTCTGCCTGATATGTGTAAGTACCTCACTCAAATATTTCCACTGAAAGAAGAGATTTTGATCAAAGTATTCGTAATTTTTTACCCTGGGTTTAGAATACCGTATTTATTTCAAAATTATAAAGAATCTGTACCCTGTAAACTAGATGTAGGATTTAAAGATACATATATGTAGATACTGGTATATTATTGTAACGTACATGTATAGTATACATGTATGTTTAATCAATTATATTACCAAAAAGAGTGATATATTTCTTTTTGCTTTGTAATCTTTAACCTTTGTAACAATTCTAGGAAAAAACACCATTTAATAACATTGAAATCTTTATTTATATTGCCAATCACATTGATTTTACGGTAAGGTTAAGGTGTACCAAATACATGTAGTTAAATATTCATACATGTATATTATTTATTCATTGCTTGCTTCATTGGAGAATATTAAAATCACAGGTATCTGATATACCTTCTTATGATTCTGTTTATGTTCAAAGACAATGAATTCAATCTATTCAAAATAACAAAAGACCGAGATTAGATTTGTGTGTATAATAAACGATGCCCTTTCTTTTATTAGATTCCTTTCTCAACCTCGGTATCCCAGCTTATTCTTCCCCACTTTGGAATTGGACTTGGTTTGGGTAACACATTTTACCTTACTTCTTATTTATTTTTTAGTACTGCTGTAACGATTTTTTTTATTTTAGCGATTATCAATTTGAGTACCTTCCTCTCGGCTTCTCCTTTTCGCAAGTACATGTAAAATTGTTTGGTTGTGAAACATCCCTTTGAGAAACTAAAACTTTCATTCTATACAATTATTAAAGAGGATGAGATCTTAAACTTGTACGCGTACGTGTACTTGTATATATTTTGACGTACACGTACACGTTATTTTTAATTTGTCTGTTGAGATTTTTATGACGTGTAACATGTACGTGTACACCGCGATCGGTGTCTCTGTTTCAACTATTTAGAAGTTTTTTTTTGTCAGTTTAATTATAGTTAGTAAACAAAACTTGACGAAAATAAGTGCTCATGAAACTAAACATCCTACATAATGTATAACAATCACATTTTTACACTTAAATTGGCTAATTTTTATTATTAAAGCTACACGTTTTCACTTACGTGTAGATTCCATTCTACAAGTTTTACGAACGTGTAGCAATCTTGACGTCACTAAAATTGATGACGTAATACACACAGAATTTAGGTTATTCCCCTTCTATACGTACACGTTTGAAATCTCAACCTGTCTATTGACTTTTGATGAGGTCTACTCGTGACTAAACCGACCTGGTAAGGTTTTGTTTGACCGAGGCCGGAGGCGAGGTTAACCAATACCTGACCAGGTCCATATAGTCACGAGAAGACGGAATTCAAAAGTCAATAACAGTTTTGTAAATGATCATGAATTTTACAACACTTTTGATACTTTCGTCCTTGTCTCCATCAAATATAAACACTCATAATAAAATACATTGTGTAACAACACTTTTCACATGTTGTTATTCTTCAACAGCGTAACTACTAGTAGATTGAAATGGAAAACACTATTATTAAACAATCAATACTCAACCATTTCTTTCAAAAGCGTTTAATCTCCTTGGTACTGGCGTCTGACATGAATGTTTACATTCACATCGACATATGCTTTGAAACACGCAATCTGATTGGTCGAAAAAATGTAAGCAAATTTATTTTTCATAACGCAAATAATAAGTGATTGTGGAAGACATTGCTCCATTAGAACGCTTATTGGTATACGTTCAAAGTATCCAGAAGCAAATTTTACCTAAAATCAAAAAAGTAAAATATTTTGAATACTGTATACAGGGAAATTTTCGCCCCCTTTCGCCCTTGTCATTAATGGGCGAATTTAAAACGGGGCGAATTCAATATTTTCAGTATAATTTTTTAAACAAAACTCACGAATGGGCGAATTTAAAACGGGACAAATTTGTTTTTTAGTGTGAAAAGGCGAAAATAACAAGGGGCGAAAATAACCCCGTATACAGTAGTTACGTACATCTACTTGTACGTTTTACATGCTTTAGGTATCGTAGATGCAGCTTTAATGCCACTGCTAGCCCTGTTGGTGGATTTGCGTCATGTGACGTCATACGGATCTGTTTATGCTATTGCCCAGTTGGCAGTCTGTCTCGCATACGGATTAGGTATTAGTTTTCCAAGTTACACTTAAAAAATTAACAAAAGGCTTAAATTTATAAAATTTAGAGATATAGTTTAAATCTTTTAGTGCATGTTTTAAATATATTTCTATGATTGCTTTTTATTTGCTATCCTAAGGACCAATGCTTGGTGGAGAAATAGTGAAACTTCTAGGATTTCCGTGGTAAGTTAATGTACAATCGATAGATTTTAAAATATATTTACAATTTATATAAAACTTGCTCATAGGCATAAAGTTTGTGCAGCACTATATATAGCACGCTTCCTGAAATAAGCCTTCTTTACTTGACAAGTATAATTTAATCGCCAATTGCTAACACAAAACTTAAAAATACAATGTTAAGTTACATGTACAGTATTCCTTAAATATACTCACTATTCGAACCTCTCGTTGCCCTATATAGTTTTTCTTAACGTCTCATAACTCTTTATGACGTCACATTTGCGCGAGTTTATCCATTCATGTACATGAAAATGCACATTAATTTCACAACAAATGCTTTGTTGAGAAATATATACATGCATTACGCAACTTTGAAACAAACATTGTCTTGGATTAGAATGGATACATTTTCAAAATGATGAAATGTAATTTTATTGTCCTTTTTTCATAGCTTGATGTGGTCCTTGGGCTGTTTGCTAGTTGTAACAAGTCCTTGTTGTCTTGTACTACGCTTTGTGAAGGCTAAAGAAGAGTGTATAGTAAGTTGTTGATCTGACAGCATAATTCATCTTTCTTCTGAAATGATATGAAGCAGCTAAAAAAAAATTTCTTTTCTTTTTTTTTCAGTCTTTAATGCTTGACACAGAAGATGAACTTCTTACAAAGAGTTCTTCACTAAAGTACACAAAGCTCTACACAGATATTTCAGTTGATGGATCCTAAGTTTATTAATCAAAAATACTTTTCAAATATCGATCTTTCTGAATAATGTTTGAAAATCAGGAATTCAACCACTTCCAGTAATAAATCTTTGTACAATTTTGGACTTTTCCGTAGACAAATGTGGGGGAAGGGTGGGTTGTGGCAATGCACTTTGAAAAAATTACGCACTTTGAAAAAAATTTTCAAAGTGCGTTAAAACTGGGAGAAAATCAACGCACTTTGAAAATTTTTTTCAAAGTGCGTTAAATTTGGGACCAACTCAACGCACTTTGAAAAAATTTTCAAAGTGCGTTAAGAGTCTACATCAATATATTTTACCATGGAGACACTTAACGCACTTTGAAAAAAAATCATATTTCAGTCATGGAAAGATTTTATTTGTTATCTATATTTCAAAAGACTAAGCCTAACCCTAACCTCAAAAATGAATTGATTTACTCCCGTCGAAAAGAGGAGAAGACGGGTATAAGATCCCTCAGTCCAAATCTTTATCTTTCCAATACATAGGTGTCGGTAACAAACAATAATAAATGAGTTAATTAAAACAGATGAAAACTAGAAATTTTAAAGTACAGTAAAACGTATCAGAGAGAAAGAATTTTCATAGTTTTGAACAATCAAATTGGCCCCTTTTTATTATGATAAATGCCAAGTTGCTTGAAGCTGTCCTCTGTTAGTGCCTATACACCTTTACATCTACTTATCAAAGACTGGAATTAATCAAAGTACTGAACGTACTGAAAAGCGGTTAGCATGCTTTCATCGAATATGTACAGTGTACAATAACAAAAAATGCATTGAATGATGATATTAAAGTAGGCATGCATATCTTTTTCCAGTGTCATCAGCGAAGAAGCAGACACACTGAATTTTGTAGTACTTAACTAAATGGTATAACCAATAACATCCCAGACTGATGTCACAAATGTTTGTTTCAAAATATCAACCTGAGTTTTTCAGTTTGAAAGACAGGAAGTTCAATCTCAAAAATTTCTCCCTAATTGTCTCCATTGGTGGCGTCCAAAAGTGCTCAGAACGAAAAAAAAATTATGCTGATGTTGCAAATTTAATTGGCTTTCATGCTCTATTGATTCTGAAATTAGGTAACTGTAAAGGCTACTATAGCAAACAACTCAAAAATAAAATAAAATAATAATTCAAATTCTTTAGATTAATTGATTTGGAGTACCGTACATAGATCTTTAGCTGGCTAGTCTGAGAAAAACGGATGGACGAGCAGAGAATTAATTAATTTCAGAGAGCTTCAGTTTCGTTGGCTCACTGCGGGTCAGCAGGTGTGACCTGTCATTGGGGATGCTTCTCACAGGAAGAAAGACAAGTAAACAAGATAATAAAGTTTTAAGAAATGTACATTATTGACTTTTCATGCAATTAAATGTTCGAATAAGTAAATGGTATATGACAATTATTTAAAACAGAGTCTTGCACAATATGTATAAACGAACATATACTGAGTATTTGGCAAATATTTTTCATGAAATATTGTGAAAAGGAAAGTTGTTGTTTAATCCATCAATACTAGTATTTTGAAAATTCAAAGGTTCACTAAAAGTCAGTGTATAACAAACAATTTAATTGTCCATTGCAAGAATTACCTAGGTATCATTGTCACTTTCTTCAATATGTCGCATAAGCAATACATTGTTGTTGTTTTTTTTTTTTTTGTATTTTTTTTTTACTAAAAACAAGTATGCGAATTTCTATCAATATGTCTGTCAGCATCTGTATTTTAATTTTTATTTCTTCTCAAAGGCTCAAAATGATAATTAACAAATTGGACAAATTCAAATTTAAAAAGTATTTTTACAACTTATACCTTGCATAGGAATTTAGCAAACTTTAAAAAATAATCATTCATTAGATATAATTTTCAATTTGTGCTTATCGTCAAGATTTTTCATGCCTCTTTTTTCTGTGCATATTTTATATCGGCTGATTTTTAGAAAAGGATCGAATGCCGATTAAATTTTTTTCTCCAATTTTTTAAAATTGATTTTAGTATTTTCAGGCTCCCATTATTTTTTTTTAAATAAAAATGTGATCGATTAAAATCGTTTGTAATAATTAGACTGAGTACAGAATTTATCCCTGGAAACAAAGCTTTTATCATCTTTCAAATAATTTCAATTGAGAAAAAAAGGAGAAGAAAACAAACGTTTCATTATGGAAGTAATCCATAACTGTACAACTTACAGATGTATTCAGTATTTTTATATAAAGGCTTTCTTCGTGTACTAGTATTACTTAAGTTAATTAAAGGGATGCCTTAATATTTTGGAAAATGAAACTCGATCGAGAGATTCTCCGATGTTTTGCACTCGGTAATAACCTTCAACCCCTTTAGCCAGTAATTAACCCGTCCTCCCTGTGCCCAGTAGCATAATTCGGTCAAATATTTATTGTTCATGAGGGGTGCCTTATAATTAATCACAGGCACCTGAATTTTTATCAGTAAGTCTCTAAATTAGCCAAATATCGAAACATTCTACCCCCTCTATATATAAATACACAAGGTGTCCAACGCCATTTTGACCACCTGTTCGATTCAGGCTTCAATTTAACACATAAATCGGAAATGCCTACTGATTTTCGTGTAGCACTGGGTTCAAATATGATATTTCTCGCTATACATTTCTTCCTAAAGTTTAAATCTAACGCGTTGATAATGTTATCAGCTAAACTTCATGATGACTTCGAATTTCGTCACAGGGCCCGATCGCCATCAGCTGATGTCACGGAAATTTAATCTCGACACCAAATGCTCCTATACATAAACTTTTTTAAATACAACAATTATAAATTTATTTCATTGACAAATTCATTCATAAGTAAATGGTATATGACAATTATTTAAAACAGAGTCTTGCACAATATGTATAAACGAACATATACTGAGTATTTGGCAAATATTTTTCATGAAATATTGTGAAAAGGAAAGTTGTTGTTTAATCCATCAATACTAGTATTTTGAAAATTCAAAGGTTCACTAAAAGTCAGTGTATAACAAACAATTTAATTGTCCATTGCAAGAATTACCTAGGTATCATTGTCACTTTCTTCAATATGTCGCATAAGCAATACATTGTTGTTGTTTTTTTTTTTTTTTTGTATTTTTTTTTTACTAAAAACAAGTATGCGAATTTCTATCAATATGTCTGTCAGCATCTGTATTTTAATTTTTATTTCTTCTCAAAGGCTCAAAATGATAATTAACAAATTGGACAAATTCAAATTTAAAAAGTATTTTTACAACTTATACCTTGCATAGGAATTTAGCAAACTTTAAAAAATAATCATTCATTAGATATAATTTTCAATTTGTGCTTATCGTCAAGATTTTTCATGCCTCTTTTTTCTGTGCATATTTTATATCGGCTGATTTTTAGAAAAGGATCGAATGCCGATTAAATTTTTTTCTCCAATTTTTTAAAATTGATTTTAGTATTTTCAGGCTCCCATTATTTTTTTTTAAATAAAAATGTGATCGATTAAAATCGTTTGTAATAATTAGACTGAGTACAGAATTTATCCCTGGAAACAAAGCTTTTATCATCTTTCAAATAATTTCAATTGAGAAAAAAAGGAGAAGAAAACAAACGTTTCATTATGGAAGTAATCCATAACTGTACAACTTACAGATGTATTCAGTATTTTTATATAAAGGCTTTCTTCGTGTACTAGTATTACTTAAGTTAATTAAAGGGATGCCTTAATATTTTGGAAAATGAAACTCGATCGAGAGATTCTCCGATGTTTTGCACTCGGTAATAACCTTCAACCCCTTTAGCCAGTAATTAACCCGTCCTCCCTGTGCCCAGTAGCATAATTCGGTCAAATATTTATTGTTCATGAGGGGTGCCTTATAATTAATCACAGGCACCTGAATTTTTATCAGTAAGTCTCTAAATTAGCCAAATATCGAAACATTCTACCCCCTCTATATATAAATACACAAGGTGTCCAACGCCATTTTGACCACCTGTTCGATTCAGGCTTCAATTTAACACATAAATCGGAAATGCCTACTGATTTTCGTGTAGCACTGGGTTCAAATATGATATTTCTCGCTATACATTTCTTCCTAAAGTTTAAATCTAACGCGTTGATAATGTTATCAGCTAAACTTCATGATGACTTCGAATTTCGTCACAGGGCCCGATCGCCATCAGCTGATGTCACGGAAATTTAATCTCGACACCAAATGCTCCTATACATAAACTTTTTTAAATACAACAATTATAAATTTATTTCATTGACAAATTCATTGACAAACAAAATCAGAAAAAAATTTTAAAAACCGAAAGATTATGTTGTTTTGATAGTCTTGATTTTATTTAACATATGTTATATGTGTTAGAAACAAATCATAGGTACTAGGTAGAGGCTTTGTTGAAGTTTCCGTTGTCGATAGGTAGCGCCTTATGGAAGTTTCCGGTGTCGATAAAAATCGGACACATGCCATAAAGCGGTTAGCGAAGCTAACCGCTTAAAAAAGGGGGAAACGAATTCATGAACTTCAACAATCCTCACTCTTTTTTTCAAGACCCTTTAATTTTCACTTTTATTTTATCAAAACCTTAAATATTTAAAACGTCAATATCTCAGGTCCTACAGTGACTTTATCATAAAAATGTTATCAAACCAAGATCTATTATTTATCATACCGATTATTTGAAGGAATATTGATCAATCTTAACATTTTTTTTCAAAGTGCGTTAATATGGTTGATATTAACGCACTTTGAATAAAAAAATTATTTTTTTCAAAGTGCGTTAGCTTGGTCCCAAATTTTAACGCACTTTTTCAAAGTGCGTAATTTTTCAAAGTGCTTTGTAACAGTAGGTAATTTATTAATTCGGAAGATTGTTTACACGCGTGATTTATTTCTTATTAATTTTCATCAGATACTGCGCCATTCATAATTATAGGAAAATTATTTTAATATTATGAGGGTAACACTGATGTAATAAAATGTCGTTTTCAAACAAAACGAAGGTTGTTAAACTTTATGTGAAGGTAAATCGTATATTTTTCATAAAAGTAGGATTCACCTCTTAAGAAGTGAAGAACATGCATACATCCATACTGTAGATTGCGTATACTTACTAGAATAACTATTCCAAAATGGATGGGTGATCAAAAGAATTAATATGGATTATAAAACCTTGAAAATAAAAGTGTCAATTTTCAATTCGCAAGTGATGCTTCTTGCGAAATTACACAATAATTAATATAAATCCTCATTCAAAATGATGAATTTATAGTAGTAGCTAATAAAGATCTAGAGAACACACAATGACAAAGTTTCAAATTCCAAGTGACATTGATCAATTAATGTGTTAATGATTGATTGTATACTGTTTAACGTCCCTCTCCAGAATATTTCACTGATATGAAGACGTCACCTTGGCCGGTGAAGGGCCGCAAATTTAGGCCTATGCTCGGCACTTATGGCCTTTGAGCAGGAAGGGATCTTTATCGTGCCACACCTGCTGTGACACGGGGCCTCGGTTTATACGGTCTCATCCGAAGGACCGCCCCATTCAGTCGCCTTTTACGACAAGCAAGGGGGTACTGAGGACCTATTCTAACCCGGATCCCCACGGGGAAAATGTGTTTATGAAAAGACAATCGGAATCGACAGCTTAAATTAGATGGAAAGATGGCAAGATAAACGAGAAGTAGTAATGAAACCAGTAGAATTTAGTTCTATGAGGCAACAGATCCACCGTTCGTTCCTATTGATAAATATCATTTTAATCTGGAATTCGCCAATCACAAAGAAAAGCAAACAAGCACAGTTTAAAATTTGATTGCATAATGACAACAAATGTTTGTCCCACATGCCGTTTTACATTCTATATCTGTTCAAGTCGTGAGAGATGTTTTAACAAAAGATTTCAAATGAAAATCTTAAAAGGAAATCTATCAGATTGATCTTCCTTGAGCCAGTTAACTGAGAGAGAAAAAATGCAAAATTTGAATTTTTATGCATATACTGTGTTGGATCGTCATCTCCAGTTCCAGATAAGGGGCTTTTTACCTGTATTCAACAAATCTAATATAACAATATGAAAAAGATGCGTTTTATCATTTATTCTCTTGGTGTTTAAGACTAAAGAAAATGCGATACTGCTACTAAGCAGGACAATTAAATATCATGAAATCAAAGTCATTCAGGAAATTTGAAATCGATGATAATTTGCCTTGCTACGTGTATAGTCATAGTTAATTTTTAGTGTTTATGCTTCTTTATGTTCAAGATTTTGAAAATCGGCTTTAGGATACACACGATAAAGAAAACTTAAGAGTGGATCTTGAAGGTGATAAAGGTGGGAAATCTGGACCAAGAATAGTTACCACTAAAATAAAACAAATTATTTCTAAGTGAGTAGCTTGTATCACAGAGATCTAAATTGTAATAAATTTTCAGGGTGTAAATTTCAGTATATCTGGCTCAAGACTGGGGTAAATAATGTGACGTCACAATACACAGTCTCTTTATCTCAAAGCGATAAAAATGACACTATGATGCATTATAGAACTATATAAGTTATATCAATAGTTTGAAATACAACTGACTAGCCTTGGGTTTACAAAGAATTGATTTGATTAACAAGAGAACATGGAGCCACATTGAAAACATGTACGTAATGATTTAATTTATTAATTAAAGATAGGGTCAGGTTGGGGTATAATAGGGGATACGAATAATTTGTAGGAAAAAAGATTTCTTGTGATAAACAAAGCACATGCAAATGCAACTCAGCTGAAACAGCGTTTTTGGGCAATGGGCCTCTTAACATTGTATTTCTTCAATATCTGTTATCTAGTACTAAGTGCTTCGTTTGATGCATGTAAATACAAATGCATCTCATTCCAAAATGGGAAAAAATAAAAATGTTCAAAGACAACTCTATTTCATGAATTTAATTGGCTACTGTATACAGGGAAATATTCGCCACTTCGCCCTTACATCGTTTGGGCGAATTTAAAAAGGAGCGTATTCAAAATATACAATATATTTTCTTAACCAAAACTGTGACTGGGCGAATTTAAAACGGGGCAAAATTGGTTGTAAGTGTGCAAGGGCGAAAATAAAAAAGGGGCGAATATAACGCTGTATACAGTATGTAAATCATGTCAACATTTATTTCAGCAAAAGAATATAGTTCACAACATAAGATCTGTTGTTGCACGAAAGAATATTTTTATATGATTAACTATGAAAATCTTTGCTCAACTGTTGTGAAGGTAAGTTTGTTTTATGATGTCAAATTGGTCTACATGTCTCATCGTTTCTGAAGAGAAAAATAAAATATGCCTATTAAAATGTTTATATTTAATTTCTTAGTCTTAATGACAAAATCAATATTCCATTTTTTTGTGAAAATGTAATTATGTCATTTTATGACTTTGTTCCTTTAGTAATTAATGAATAGGTCAGTGCCTTTGAAGAAAATGGCCAACAAGCAAAATGTTATCATTCTTAATCAAGAAAAAAACTTTTTAGATGGATTTTTTTTAAAAACTTCTCCTTTGCAAGGTTTGGTAAGACGTTAAGAAAATATTAAGCCTTCTGATGGTATTAGTTTTTTGTACTTCTCTAAGGAATTATTTAGAAAAAAAGATTGCTAACAGTACCTGAAAGTCAGCACTTTGCACTATGTGAACCGCCATCTCGATCTAATAATGAAAATGCTCAAATTAACTGAACATGCTCTCATAAGGACATTTTTTTTTATCAGTAATTTAGTACAATGTATAGATTTTCCCAGAAACACTTACCATATATCTTCTTTCAAAGTTGTCATGAAATTGAGGAATCGTCAATCCAGTCTATAAAAATGAAAATATTAATGCTAAAATGCATTGACTGATAGTTCTAGTAAACCTAATGTAAATGGGGGGGGGTTAATATATATATTTTCGTCTGTCAAGGATGTGAACATATTTTTTAACAATTAAAATCGTGCTGTTATTTCAAACAATATTGATTCAACCAAATATCATTAGTTCAGGCAGCGGAAATTATAAATTTTCTCTTTTACTCTTTTTTCAGAGGTTAACCTTGGGAGATGTTTTAGTTGTCTTAATCGAAGATCAAGGTAAAAAATGATTTTAAAAAATAAAGTTGTATTATTGATGTCAAAATATTTAAGGTTTCGTCAAAGGTCAACATGTCTAAAAATTATTTTTACAATAGCTCCAAAACTATGTGTGGTATAAAGTCAAAACGTTCACAGTTTATAAATTTATCATTGATTAATAGATTAGAAAGTATCACTTGATAAATATTTTTTAAAAGATATTTTTTGAGAAAAATTGTATCAGAAAATGTACATATTTAAAGAAAAATCACCTGCTTAATTCTCTCTTTTTTGTGAAAACCATCATTGCAGAAATAATACCGGTATATGTTTATCATTGAAAGGCAAGTTGGATGTGAATGGTCTCTGAAAGGCTGTTATTGAAAGCATGACATGTATAAAGACAAAACCCCTATAGAATCCGCCATTTGCAATGTACTTTCACTTTCAAGTCTTAACATTTGGACAAAATAAACAGGGAAAACAACTTTCCAGAGGCCACCCACGTTCAACTTGCCCTTCATTGATAAACATATTTTGTTTCTGCAATAATGGTTTTCACCAAGAGCGCAGAATTAATTAGATGTATATTTTGAAAATATATGCAATTTTTTCTCAAATAATATTTTTTTCCAATATTTTTTTCTTATCAATTGATACTTTCTATCTGTTTATCAATGAAAAATTTATAAACTGTAAAAGTTTTAACTTTATGCCTCACATAGTTGTGGTGCTACTGTAAAATTAAATTTTTGGACATGTTGACCTTTGACGAAACCTTAACTAAAAAATTAACAAATTTACATTAAGACGTACCAATGACATCCACTGAATAATGCTCCTTATCAGTTCCATATATGAATCTCGCCAGTTTTGTCCCCTAGACTTAAAATTAAAACATAATATAAAGATGGATGTTGTAGTGTAAGTACAGCTAATCATTTAATTTTAACAAAAATTCATACAATTAATTTTCTTTCCTTTTTTAAGATAATTTCATAATGAAATTTTACTACATTTAAACAGAAGGTGTGCAGTGAATTTGAAAAAAAAACAAGGTCTTTTAGCTTACCAAATTTATTAATTACAATCATTTGTCGAGTTGAGAGATATCACTCAAACAAAAATGCTTCAAATTCAGGCGAACTTTGAACTTGTTAACTAATTATATTGTCAACCCTGGAAGTGATTGTAATTTTAAATTGAAACATGTTCTACAGACTTTTCTGGGCAAATAATGCATATAAGTTAAAAGTACGCTTTCTTTAATCTAACACTGATGCCGAAACATGACTGAACAGGCGTTAAACAATAGACAGTCAATCAATTAATCTAACAATGAAATGCAATACTTAAGTGTAAAGCATGTCATAAATTGGTCTTAAGATGTAATTGATAATTCACGGGAATTTTATAAGCTATTAGTATCAAAATGTCTAAATATTGTATTACAAAAGGGATTGTAAAAATAAGAAAAAAAATGAAATTGTTCATTATATAATTCACATTTAAGTTTAAACTTACCTCTGACAATTGCAACACGTTAAGGATTTTTGATTCCATTTGCAAATAAGGGTCCTTCTGATGTTGCTTCACAGACTTTAAATAGAACAAATAATTATATCATGTTGTTTGTACAATAAACAGCAATGGAGCCGTAAATTGTAATATAATGTCATACAAATAGGATGCTACAGATGCTACTATATTCATAACAACAATCTAGAAAAAGAAGGAAAATGGACACATTGGCTCTTAAGGTGAATTTATGAGAATTAAAAAATTAATTTTTTATTTCTGTATGTTCATGGTTCTGTTGTATCAGATGATATTTTGTGACTTGATGACTTTGGACTTTGAAAGGATTTTCTTTCTTTTTTTTTATTTCAAAGTTAAAAAGTTTTTACCTTTGCCTGAAAATGAACTGGAAATTTATAACATGCCAAAATTTTCCATAAGCAAAGTCTGTTTATCATAAAATCACATTAAAATGCTGTTTATTGTAATGACATTCAAATACGGATAATCAGTTTAAAATATTTGAAATCGTTAGGCAAATTCTAGTTAAATAATTACCGAAATATTATGGGCTAGCAAAGCAATATTTAAAAAAAAACATTACTAAATATTAAATTTTTAGAGTATAGATAGGCAAATTATCACAAATTTCAAATTTCTGGTTTGCATGTAAACAAGCATACTTGTTCAATTATATTCAACTTCCATTATTGCATACTCACCAGTCCTTTTCGGGCATCACGGATGTGCTTTGTTTTCATCATAGCATACTAAAAAGTATCAAAACAACAAAAGTACTAGTAAAGCACAAAAGATTACAAAATAGTATTTTTAAAGTTCAACACACTTTTCATTTTGCTTTGAGTTGTAACAAAATGTTCTTTTGTATTGCCCAGAAGTACCATAATGCTTGTTATTCTTTGAGAGATTTAGACTCACCTCTTTGCCGAATTCTTTTTGGTTTTTGTTAAAACGATATTGTCCCGTGGTATGTGTTTCTCTCTTCTGGAGGAATGATAAATACATGTATATATTCTAGTCATACGTATTGTTAGTCCATTATTTAAACACTGAATAGACAGCGGATAAATACATGTATATATTCTAGTCATACTTATTGTTAGTCCATTATTTAAACACTGAATAGACAGCGGATTTTCCCTTTATTTCGATCACGACAAGTAGTACACGGCGGGTGTGACTGGTCGGCAGGGAGTGGTCATTCCTTCCTGGCACCTGATCCCGTATCTGACGTTTTGGAGGATCATGTTTGTGTTGCTCCTATTTTGTCATTTTATAAGCGTCTTTAAAAAATCTAGTATTTCTTCAATTTAAATATTGTACCTGACGATTGTCAATGATTTATAAATTTACTTTGAAAATATTTAAATTTGGTTGAAATCAGGGTATAGATAAACACATGTAATAATTAGGTGCGAGGAATGATTGAACAAGAATAGCAACTTGTATGTTTGAGAAGCAACAAAGAAAAAAATATTGACCTGAACAGGAAAGAAGAGGTAAAACAAGAGGACTGGTGAGCTTAAGAATACGGAAAAGATGTAAAGTTCTTAGAAAAAAACTTCTTCTGTACATACCCAAAGTAGTCATTTATAACATTTAGGAATATCTTACATTTTGGGATCATTCTTCATGGGTAAGCAAACATTCGTTTTAATGAATGGGCATGTTAACAATGAAATGTGGAGATGTTAAGATGCTTCGCTTTTCAGTCAATTATCTATTTAATTTACAACGCCTCACAGGTAACCTTGATATTGATCTTTCCCTGCAACATATATATGCATCTCCATATGATTCAAGATTTTTTAAAGGTTTCGAAACTGTCTTGTTAAAAATGTGATATCTGTACCCCATTAAGTACAAAAAATAAATGAATTCTAATAGAAATCGAATACCCTTTAATCTAGTCTTTGACATACATGTTTAATCGTGATATTGAAATAAACGTGATCTGTGATGTCATACAAGGAAAGTAAAAACGTTTAACAATGCGCAATTTATCATAAGTCGATTAAATTGAAAAACTAAATTATCGAATAAGTATAAACTACATCCAATTTTCTCCAAATGCCTGGATACCTGAAATTTTTGTATTGTAAAATATATCTGTTGATCAATTTTCAGTTTCAAAATATATACACGTAGCGATACTTTGATTCGCATTTCGAATTCCTGCATATAAATCTGAGATTTATTAATTTTCCCTATAATGATATGATTAATTCAAGTGATGAAGTTTGAAGGAATGTCATAGGTAAAACACTTTATTTTTAGAATTCAGATACATTTTGTGATCACTTTCAGTAATATTAATACCCAGTGCCTTTTTTCAGAACCTGAGTTAGCGAGCTGAATTCATAGGTAAAGTTGAACTGTGAAATCTACGATCATTGGTCCCCAATGATGATTTCACAGTATGTAAATAAAGCTGATGATGGACGTTTATGATGTTAACAAAAAATGTACACTGATACTGTTCCTTTTTTAGATACTGTGTTGGAAAATATTTAAGAAAAAAGACAGCGTTTTCGTGAATGCTGTGGGATAACCTCTAGTATGTTATGATTTTTTGAATACTTACGTGTAGTGCTTTGTGATGCTGATAATAACGAGCATTTTTAGATTTTCCAAGCCAGTCGTATTGGAAGTCATACTACAACAAGAAAGTGTGTTATTTATCTAATATAGCAAATTTAAAAAAAGTTCTTGTGGACATGTACATGTATTTGATGACCTTAAGTTTGTAAAATTGATTCATACATTTTCTTTTGAACATGTAAAATGGATCTGCAAGACTTAGTGCCAACCTATTAAAAAAATAGGGAAGATGCCATTTTCATAAAGGAAAGATGCCATTTTCATAAAAGGAAGATGTCATTTTCTTTTCATACCTTAATATCCCTCCATAATCTGCATATGTTGATTACATCCCAAGGTTCACCCCCCGCACCCCCACCCCCACCCCCCAAAGTCTTGTTTCCTGCTACCTGACCTACCTTATTTTTTGGCACCTAACCCTAAAGGGTTTTTTTATTAGTTTTTTTTTTTGGGGGGGGGGGGGTAGGGGGGAATTGATATTACAGGAATTTCATGTTTAAAGAGTAAAATAATATTTCTCCAAGTTGTTTTTCATGAAATATATGTTTTTAATATGGACTTGAATTCAAAACATTCTAATATGTACAGTTGTGGATCAAAAGACACGGATTTCATTTTAAAAGATAATATTGACCAATGATATGTTCAATTTGGTTTTGTATTAGTTGATATCAAAAATATCGTTAACGTTGGAAAAAATGAAATAAAATTTATAAAAATTAAAATAATTTTCCTACTTACACTACTGAATTAAATATCCCCTTAGATTCCAAAAAATCCCCTGTTGTCCCCCTGTCAGTCCCTGACATTTTCCTGTCTCTCCCTGACTTTCTCCTATGATCCCCTGTCGTTGTCCCTGCTCTCCCTGTCCAGTCCCTGTCGTCCCCTGTTGTTGTCCCTGCCTTCCCTGTCTACTCCCTGTCGTCCCCTGACATTCTCTGATCTCCCTGTCCAGTCCCTGTCGTCCCCTGTCGTTGTCCCTGCCTTCCCTGTCTACTCCCTATCGTCCCCTGACATTTATTTTGGCCAAGAAAAGGAGTTTCAAAAATATTTTTGTTACATTTAAGAGTGAAAAATGATATAGTCTTGAAAACTTTAAGTTTTTTTCATGAAAGTATAGACTTAGTAAAAAGTTAACACATTTTCAAATGTCTTAACTAAATCCCCTGTAATTTAGTTTCTATTACTTGTATCAATGTGATTTTTTTTAGTTTGGTCCTAGCATTTCGGGGGAGAAGGGCAGAGAATTGCATCATTATAAAGAAGAAATAAATTAGCAATTTATTTCAACTTGTGATGCTAGACAGCTTATACATGGTACTTTATGAATCTTTTATATATATTTATAAACTTTTTTATTTTTTTTATTTGATCTACTTTGAAACATCTTTGAGCATAATAACTGTCTTTGTAAAAGAACTAAACATTTGGGAATACATTATCAAATCCATGCATGGGATATGTTGTTTCACCAAAGAATTAAAAAATTAAATGAAAGGAATGATATATAAATGCATTAATAAAATAAATGTCTATTTAATAAATAAAAATTATTAAATAAACTAAAAATATATTTTATTCATTTATTTTCTTATGTGAATAAATCTACAACTCGACTGAATTAAGAATAAAAGAATAAATATATAAATAAATAATGAGAATTATATAAATTTATTCATTTATTTTTTTTTTTAATTTATCACTCATATATATCCCCCAAAATTTGATTTATTAGTTTATTTTATTTATTTGCTGAAATATGCTTCAAGAGTATTTTATTACCATATTTAAACGACTTTTTATTACTTTAAGTCCATGATGGATATCAAAATAATCGTCTCATAATGCACAATATTAATCCGTCAATTAGATTTTTCATACTTTGTATTGATAAAAAAACTCGTTTTTCAAAACCCTAACACGGTTCTGAAACAACATCAAAGCCATTGATGTTTACCAGTAATTAAATAACTCGGTGTACACAGTCAGGACACCTATTACCTTTTTCACTGACCGCTATACCTTGTTTATATTGTGGCAGGACGACCGTGTGTAGTTTGCAGCTGTTTGAAATAACAATTTTCTCCTTGTATGAGAACTTAATATTTTTTCAATCAAAACAAAATAAATGTATCAAAGAAGCTATTGACGGGTAAAGATTGTGCATAATGAGACGATTATTTTGATATCCATCGTGGACGTAAAATAATTAAAAGCAGATTTAATATGGTTCAAAAATACTTTGACACATATTTTTGCGTCAATAGTTTTACATAAAATAAGCCAAAAAAATCCCATTTACGGGTATTTGATTATTTAGTTTGCTTGTATCGTCAATTTTAAAAATAAAAACATTGTTTTTATAATGATTACATACATGCAGGTAATAAGTTTACTTTTTTTATTTACTTACTATTTAAAATCAATTATTGTATTGATTTTAAAAAATTAATTATTCCAAAATGCACCAATACCTCATGCGGTCTCTCTCTCTTTTTTTTCTTTTTTCTTTCTTTTTTTATACAAATGGTAAAAAGTCAAACCAGTATTTAACGAATAAAACAGATTGCAGCGAAATAAATTCGTAGTAAATAAATAAAATAAAATACATGAATAATAAAAAAAATATTAATAAAATATCAATCTATTTCTTTATTTTTGAAACTGAAAATACTACAAATTAGTGAATCATTCAATCTGAAAGAAATAGTGTTTCTTTAGTTTTACTTTAAAATTATATAAACACTTGCATCCGTAATGTGCTACAAAGTATTTTATTAGCGTATTAAAACGACTTTTTATTATTTTAAGTACATGATGGATATCAAAATAATCGGCTTATTATGCACAATATTAATCTGTCAATTTGATTTTTGAGACATTGATTTGATTGAAAAAATCGGTTTTCAAAACCCTAACACGGTTCTGAAACAACATCAAAGCCATTGATGTTTACCAGTAATTAACTCGGGGTACACAGTCATGACACCAATTATCTTTTTCACTGACCGCTATACCTTGTTTATGTTGTGACAGGACGACAGTGTATAGTTTGCAGCTGTTTGAAATAACATTTTCTCTTTGTATGAGAACTGTTTTTTTCAATCACAACAAAATAAAAGTATCAAATAAACTATTGACGGGTAAAGATTGTGCATAATGAGACAATTATTTTGATCTCCATCATGGAAGTAAAATAATTAAAAGTAGTTTAACTATGCTTCAAAAATACTTTGATACATATTCATCGTTAATCAGTTTACATAGAATATGCGAAACAAATCCCATTTTCGGGTATATGATTATTTAGTTTCTTGTATCTTCAATTTAAAAAAACAAACAAACATTTTTTTTATAATGGTTAAATACATGCAGTTAATAAGTTTATTATTTTTATTTACTAACTATTTAAAATCAATCATTGTATTGATTAAAAAAAACTAAAATATTCCAAAATGCGCCAGTACCCCTGCTCTCTTTTTTCTTAGTTTTTTTTTTTTTTTTTTTTTAATTTTTTTTTATTTTTACAAAAGGTAGAAAGTCACTCCATTATTAAATGATTAAAACATGAATAAAATAAAACTCTAAAGAAATACAATTTCTTGCGGATATGAATGATTGACTAATTTGTTGTATTTTCAATTTCAAATATAAATAAATTGTTTTTTATTTATATTTATTTCATTATTTTTTTTTTTAATTTTATTTTATTTATTTACTATGTATTTATTTCGCTGTTATCTGTTTTATTCAGGGTTAGGTTTGTACCTTATGTAAGAAAAAAAGTCAGCAGCGGGTATTGGTGCATTTTGGAATGTTTTAGTGTTTAAAACCAAATCATTAATTGATTTTAAATATTTAGTAAATAAAGAAAATAAACTTATTAACTGCATGTATTTAATCATTATAAAAACAATGTTTTTATTTTAAAAATTGACGATGCAAGCAAACTAAATAATCAAATACCCGAAAATGGGAATTGTTTTGGCATATTCTATGTAAGCTGATTTACAATGAATATGTATCAAAGTATTTTTTAAGCATATTAAAACTGCTTTTAATTATTTTACTTCCATGATGGATATCAAAATAATCGTCTCATTATGCACAATCTTTACCCGCCAATAGCTTATTTGATACTTTTATTTTGTTTTGATTGAAAAAAATTAAGTTCTCATACTAAGAGAAAATGTTATTTCAAACAGTTGCAAACTGTAAACGGTCACTCTGAACACAACATAAACAAGGTATAGCGGTCAGTGAGAAAGACAATAGGTGTCATGACTGTGTACCCAGAGTTAATTACTGGTAAACATCAGTGACTTTGATGTTGTTTCAGAAATATGTTAGGGTTTTGAAAACCGATTTTTTAATCAAAACAAAGTATAAAAAATCTAATTGAAGGATTAATATTGTGCATAATGAGACGATTATTTTGATATCCATCATGGACTTAAAGTAATAAAAAGTCGTTTTAATATGCTAATAAAATACTTCGTAGCACATCAAAGGATGCAACAGTTTATGTAAAATAACCCTCCCCCAATAAAAAAAAACAAAACAAAAAAAAAAAATAAATAAAACAAAATAAAACAAAACAAAAACCTCTAAAAAAGCCACAATTTCTTGCAGATATAATCGATTGACTAATTTGTTTTATTTTCAATTTCAAATAAATATAAATGAATGAGGAAATAAATAAAATAAAACTAATAAAACAAATTTTGCGGAATATAAATGAGTGATAAATTAAAAAATAAACAAATAAATGAATAAATTTATATAATTCTCCTTATTTATTTATTTATTTATTTATCTATTTCTTTATTCATTCTTAACTCAGTCGATTTGTAGATTTATTCACATAAGAAAATAAAAGAATAAAATAGATTTATAGTTTGTTTAATAATTTTTATTTATTAATTAGGCATTTATTTTATTAATGCATTTATATATCATTCCTTTCAATTGATTTTTTTATTCATTTAATTCTTTGGGAAAACAAAATATCCCGTGCATGGATTTGATAATGTATCCCCAAATGTTTAAATCTAGTTCTTTTACAAAGACAGTTATTATGCTCAAAGATGTTTCAAAGTAAATCAAATAAAAAATGAAAAAGTTTATAGATATATAAATAAAAGGTTCATAAATTACAATGTATATGCCGTCTAGCATCACAAGATGAAATAAATTGCTAATTTATTCTTTAGAATGATGCAATTCTCTGCCCTTCTCCCCCGAAATGCTACCAAACTAAAAAACATCACATTGATACAAGTAATAGAAACTAAATTACAGGGGATTTAGTTAAGGCATTTAAAAATGTGTTCACTTTTTACTAAATCTATATTTTCAATATAATTTTTGACTCTTAAATGCAACAAAAATATTTTTGAAACTCCTTTTCTTGGCCAAAGTAAATGTCAGGGGACGACAGGGAGTAGACAGGGAAGGCAGGGACAACGACAGGGGACGACAGGGACTGGACAGGGAGATCAGAGAATGTCAGGGGACGACAGGGAGTAGACAGGGAAGGCAGGGACAACGACAGGGGACAACAGGGACTGGACAGGGAGAGCAGGGACAACGACAGGGGATCATAGGAGAAAGTCAGGGAGAGACAGGAAAATGTCAGCGACTGACAGGGGGACAACAGGGGATTTTTTGGAATCTAAGGGGATATTTAATTCAGTAGTGTTACCTACCCCATTTTTTCAGGTTTTTAGCAAGAAACAAAACTTTTTTTAGGCCTCATTCGAAAATCATTACATTCAATTTCCAATCTTAGGCAGGCTATTGACAGATAGTAGAATGATGTAAAAGGAATTTCAATAACTTCGTTTAAAGTCGACGTTTTGTAATTTCATTGGTCGTTATACCCGTTACACATTGCTAGATATTTAATGAAACGCAGCGAATATTCCTTATTACATTGTCGTATTTTGGCTTACTTGTTTCACACCTACGAGGGGTGATCAAAAAGTTCGCAAACTAATTGAATAACTTCCATACAAGAAACAATATTTGGTTTTAATGTTGATTATATTTTAAATTAATCCTCCCCGATTTTAATGCACATCAACCACCGTTCTGCGCATGCGCGAATCACGTGATATTGGCGGTCATGTGACCCCTCCGTAGCGTTCTGTCACAATAGTTAAAAGATTTTCCCGAGTTTTATATTTCTTTCCATGTGAGTTAATTTTTTATGACAAGAACAGTTAACGTTAATTTGTCAGAAATGGTCATATCTCGGCAACAGAAAGAGTGGATAATGACATCCTTTCCAAAATAAGCATGGCGACCATTAAAACACAAATCTTCTGTCTCAGGAGAGACCTTTATTCAAGGTGGATAGAGAATGGGTGCATCCTTTTTATCATACCTAATATGTTTAAAATCTAAAGTTAACGATATCTTAGGTATTTAACACTTATATCATTGTTCAAATATTTAACTATTTTTCAAAGTGCTAATTGGAAGTCTTTGATAGCAAATTGCTTAATTAAAAATACATATCTTTTCAAACTTGCTTTCACTGGGCAAGATGACAAGTATCATTTTTAACCATCAGCCTTCCTTCACTAAAACGGTTAATCCAATCTTTAATTGAATTTATAGGAACTCATTTATCTCAATAAACTGTGTACAAATTATTATATGATACTGTAGAGGGATTTCTAAGATATTACAATAAATTGTACAATCGTTTGTTGAACGAGTTCGACTGAGAAAACCATTTTTCGTCACAAGTGACCTAAATAGTGACGTCATTTTCACATTGTGACGTCACAATCAAGGAGAGAAACTTTATTCAGCACATGCTATTTATAGACCTTGTGTATGGCTATGTGTGTACCGAATTTCATTCTGATCTGAATTGTGGTTTTGTAGATATAGAGATAGTTTGCGAACTTTTTGATCACCCCTAGTATACTTTTGTTTTAAACTGAATTTGAATATGGAATGTTCTGCTACTTGATCAATTAATATATAGAGCGCATGTGGCATGACAACAAGAGATACTTTCTCCTCCTTGGCTACTAATCCCACAAAAAACTTACCAGATCGTATATTGATCTTTTTATGTTATTTGGATGTCCATCCCTTGGTCTTGGAGATCTATCGGTGTATATGATAAAGTCAAAAATGGCCTTGATGCAGGTATCAGACACCTTAGCTCTCTGTTAAGTAACAGAATATATACGAGTACAAATAACGTTTCATTGGGAATAAAAATGCGAAAGTGTTGTATTTAATACATAAAGTAGCCTGCATAGTAGGTGTTTTTTTATAGTGACTATTTATCTTGTATAAATTATTTTACTAAAGAAAGTGATATGACTTTCATTTCGGAAGGTAAAAAAACCAGGTCAATTAAATAAATTATACACTGAACTACCTTCAGGAGTGTTTTATTTTTGATACTAATATAAACGTATAGTCACTGTAGTAAGAAAATGAGATATGCTACTTACTCCTTGTTCTTCTTTCTGTATTTGTATCTGCCATTACAAAAATAGAAGAATGAACCAAAAGTCTTTTCTTAAATGTATTAAAAAAAAGTGTAATGACATAATTTTATGAACTGGACGAAAACCTCATATGCATTGTAAATATTATAAAAACTTTAGGTTAATATGTGTGAATTGCTAGATTATATATATTTCGTTTTCATTTATCTCCTTATGTTTCCATTTCTATTTTTTTTTTCTCTGTGATACATGTACCTCTTTGAAAGCTAGAAGACTTGCTTTCCTGGTCATTCTAACGGAATGTATATTTCGCCAAGGAATAGTTCAAGAGCATAGGAGGCCTAATATGAAAGTAAATTTTGTGTGACTAACTCTGTGTCTGATGCTAAGGAGTTCTAATATGCATGTAAATCTTGTATGGCCATCTTTGTGTTTGACGCTATTGGGCGGAATATTTAAATATAATTTAATTTCAGTTGTAACGCGTCATTTGATTGGTTAAACGGTTTTTCCATTTCGTATAACATAACTTGCCTACGTCACAATGAGTTACGTCAAAAACGTATCACTCCGCTTGACGTTACTTTTAAAATAATGCTCACTTTGAAGCCTTTTTCTAGATAAGATATTGTCTCATTGTCTACATTGTAATTAAATTATAAGAAACGAAGCTTATTTCAACTTATGTTATCCGATATAACAAAACTTGGGGCAGTTTACGCTTATTTATAAACCGCTTTGCGGTTTATAAAGCGTAAACTGCCCCAAGTTATGTTATATCGGATAACATAAGTTGAAATAAGCTTCATTCCTTAAATATAAAATATTTTTACGGTGAAATGGAAATATAAGGAATCATTGTCTATTGACAGTTGGAAAACGTGGAATTCCTATATTCACAACTATGTAAACAGGATATATAGATAAATAAACTAATATATGGTTACATCTATATTAATATGCATTTATTTACTTTTTCCCCAAGATACATGTATTAGTCGTAGGCTAGAGGTTAAAAGAACAAACTAGTACATTGGGATACGAGGTTTTAAACCGGGTATTTTTTTTTCTTTTCAATTCCAAAAATGCACATTTAAAATTTCTCACGAAAGATGATTTACAAATCAAATGTTCCCTCCTAGCAATGATTATTATGCATGCATTTATTTCATGACCATGAGGGAAATATGAAGATTTATTCAGACAAGAAATATCTTTTTCCCCAAAGTCTTCGCTCCATTATAATTACATGTACATCTATACTACACGTTATCTGATTGGTTCGAGAAAATCAAATGTCAGGGTCATTAAACTTCATATTTCCCAGTCGTTGTTATGCTTTTCGTGACATATTTAACCAATTCCGATACCTAGTGCATTTTCCAGCGTGTACCATCGTTCTAAGAACGATAACTCCCGAGAGTAGAAGACATCACATTGTCAATTGTAGCTAACTACAGAATTGTAGCTCTCCGAAAAAAAAAAAAAACATATTGGCAGGCCGGTGTAACGAGGAAAAGTGACCCCCGTAGAATATTGACCAGGGGGCATTTTCTACGTAGAAAAATGACACCGGGTCAATATTCTACGACAAGTAGGGTCCTTTTCCGACTGTAGAATAACATTCCAGACCAGTAATTCTACAACTCCACACAAGTCGAAAAATGACCCCCAGAGAATTTTGACCCCTTACTTTTTTATACAATAAAAAACTTATATATGTGTCTCTTCATATTTTTTTATACTTTCAAATGCAAGTAGGGGGAATTTTTTATGTACTTTAATCCTTTCCAACATATACCCGGTATTTGATTGATCACTATCAATGTATCTGGTATGGATTTATTTTTGGCTTGAAGAATCCCAATAAATATTTTTTCATTGAGGAACATACATCTTCAAATGTTTTGTTCCAAAAATAGCATGAGATGTTTCTGATAACAATAAACTTTGAATTTTTTTACAAATCCAAATACATACATTGTGAAGCATAGAAGCAAGAAAAGCAACGTTATTTAACTATATAAATTCAATTCCCTAATAGCTCTTACATTTAAACTTACATACACATCTGTATGGAAAAAGGATATGGAGATCGATACATATAACAAACAGTATTCAATACGAAAGTCCACAAAACAATACAAAATAGGAGCAGAGCAATCACGGACCTCCATAACATCAGAGGTGGCATCAGGTGTCATGGAGGAGTGAGCATCCCCTGTTGACCGGTCACACCCGCTGTGTGATCTTCATGATCGAGAAAATGTAAAAATAATTAACAATCAGCACAAAAAAAGTCAGTCATCATTTGACTTAATGATATATCGTATTTGCTGACAAGGACATTGTATCGACCATAGAACTTACGAAATGTCGGTGCAAAATTTCAAAAAGGTACGTGGTACTAGGCATAAAAAATATTTGAGTACTTTAAGAATACCCGATATGAATCAAAGCAACGAACATTTACAATGTCAGTTTTCAACAAAAGGCTACTATTTTTTTTGGTACATTGTTATTCGAAGGAAAATGTTTGATAGGGTATTCGCTCCATTACTTTTATACAAGCATAAACAACAACATTCTATACATGACAACCAGCCGTGCGTGCGCTGGACGCCGTATCTTATCGACAGTCTTCACTAAACAGTAGATCAATAATATATAACACAGACATTATGTATGAGAAATAAAACATCAAAATTCCCAAAAACTGCTGCATCTATTGTAATTCTATAATATACTTTGTGAAAAACGTAAAAAAGCATTAGGGCCGACCAGGAAAAACTAGAGATGAAATGAATTTTTAAAAACCTCTAGAAACCAGCAAGCATGCTTGAGAAAATTTCCTAAGATATGTCTCAAGACGTGTAATGTTTTAATTTTTCTGACTTTTTAAAACATTTCTGAATCAATATTTCTTTATTGGGTGTGTCTCCCCTCCTTTTTTAAAAACATGCTTGGAAACAGTGATGATCAATATATATTATCGGTACATAATCGATTAATAATCGATTATGTTTTGAACTTTAATAAAATTAATATAGAAATAAAACTTATCAAAATTCCCTTTTACAAAAAAATCATTTACTTACATAAAATATTCAAAAATGTTAATGTAATAATATTTCGTTTACTTTAAACAATATAGGACTATTAAGACAGAATGGGAATTTATTCTTTTATAAAGTCCATGCAATGGGTATTTTACTGATATTAGTCCCACCTTTCATTTAATACATATACGTATTTATTTCTTAAAATTAGTTTTTAAAAAAATTGCAAGTTGTAAAAGTAATTATCCAGAAGTTAGCTTGTATTTATGGTTATAATTACGTTTAAAGATTGAAAATTTTTTCCTTTACTTGCAATATTACCGTATCCTGGTATTAGTCTAACCCCATATTTAATCATGGCGGTAAAAGTATCAACAAGACACGGGATGTTTTCAATTTTTCTCTTTGCACTTTTTAATAAAATTAAAGTATGACAATTTTATTTTTTGTTAGTGATGTCGGCGACATTTATTTTATAAAAACATGCTTGGACTCGATTGTCGCCGACAATCGTTCCATCACTACTCAAGACTGATATATTTAAGTTTGTTTTTATTTTTCAAATTCATTTTATTATCATCGATTTCTATTACATGCATGTACATATATCTTTAGTATTTTCATCCCAGTTTTTGTGTAAAAAGCTGTAATATAACTGAGCTACTTGTGTACAATATAGTTTACATTAAGCAGAAACAGAAAAGCAGAGCAACCTGACAAGTACATTTTCTTTTCATAGTTATTTGTATTATTAAAATATTGGATAAACTTGTAATTTAGAAAAGATATATAAGACAAAACACCTTTTCTTGTCGTTCTTTATCCAAGTTAATCAACAGCAAACCTCTCTCTCTCTGTCTCTTTTTTTCTCTCTCTCTAGGAAGTACTGCTTATAAACTTTCTTTATTTTTTTAATATCTGGTGATTCTCTGCTGTCTTTTAAGAAATGAATTTCATTTTTACAGCTTCATGAGGTTATGAACTCTGGTACTTCACGCCGGTGTAACGACGAAAAGTGACCCCCGTAGAATATTAACTAGGGGGGTCATTTTTCTACGTAGAAGAATGACCACGGGTCAATATTCTACGACAAGTAGGGTCATTTTTCAACTGTAGAAAAACATTCCAAGCCAGTAATTCTACATCTCCACACACGTTGAAAAATGACCCCCATTGAAATTTGACCCCCTACATTTTTATACTATAAAACCTTGTGTATGTGTCTCCTGATATTTTTTCATACTTTCAAAAGTAAAGTATCTTTTATCTCAAGCTCTTCAGGATACTAGTATATTGTATCGACGTAGGAATCGAAATTACCATTGTTAATTGACAATACGTCGTCGACAAATCTAAATGTCTAGTTGAAAGCCACGTCACGTAATTTTTTCTTTTCACTCATCTTGCACAAATTCTGCTTCATATGAATGCAAAAAATAGGTCTGCTAATAATGGAGCGCAATTGGTACTCATGAAATTCCAATAGATTTTTTGAAGACCTGGTCTCCAAAAACCACATAGATGTTTTCAATCCAAAACTCGAGCATCTTTTTGATGTCCACTTCAGAGTACTTGTGTGTGTAATCAAAATGTGTTTTAACAAAATATTTTTCCAAATGACCAATAACCAGGTAAGAGAATCTAGGATATCTATTTTTACTGAAAAAGCAGCTGTCAATGATATTAAAAAGTCTGGACTTAATTTATCTTGGGGAATGGTTGTGTTTAAAAGCTGAAAAGTCATAAGTTTTTAAGCTGTTGATTTTGGTAAAATCTTGTGATTTCAAATTGTCAAAAATCATTGGAACTCTTGAGTATCCACATCTGATACACACCATTTCTTGAATATATTGTTGCACAGTACCCTTAATTTTTTTCCTTCATTTCTGTCAATGTCTTAGTCAGATGTAACAAAAGAGGCATGGTTGAACATTTACTAGTGTAAAGCAAGTTTTAAAAATATTTTACTCATTTTACATGTATATATACATGTTATTATTTGAGAATTATTTTACTGAACTAATAAAATAATAACATCTCATTTCCCCATGTGCGCTTTCTTACACAACCACAAATATATTGGCCGCTGCTGTGCCCGATAATTAGAGTTTTATCAATAAAACAAAATGATAAAATGAAACTTGGGAAAAAAATCAATGAGCGGGGGGGGGGGGGGGGGGCGGGGGTCGGGGTCGGGGGTTGGAGGGGTCGGGGGTTGAAACTTATCGTTGATCGAAAAGCAGAGTATAGCAAAATATATTCTACTCTAAATCCATTCATTACTTTCAAATGAAAGTACAATAAACAACAAACACACCATTTGGACATAGCAACGACACGCAGTAGCTTTATTTGCGCCATAACATATGCAAAATATGAAAATCAATTTGTATATACAAGTTTATGTTGGATTGAATAAATCATGATAAAATTTAAACTTTATCGCAGAGTATAAACCACTATTCACCTCTTATATAGCCTTGCTAATATATTGGTATTCGAATGAAAACCTTGTAATTCCGCATTATCACACCAAGTCCGTTTGAAATATTGTCCGTTTCAGGTGTATGGTGGCATATTTATGTCATCCACCTAAATGTTGTCAACATTGCTTATTATGTCAAGTCAAGTTAAGTATTCCGTCAAGTTATGATAACTTTCAGTTTTGTCGTCAAACACCGACTTTTATCTTGTACAGTCAAGATCAGCTATCGTATTTTTGCGATAGCTATCTCGACAAAAAGAGATAATTCATTTGGTATCGCGACTAAATGTTATCTCGCCATGTGTCAAGATAACTATTGCAACAAAATGTGATAGCTTATCTTGACTGGACAAGATTTGTCGATAAACCAGAGAGTTATCATGAATTGACGAAATAGTTGTCTTGACTTGACATGTTATACCATGTTGACTAAAAAACTATGTAGATGGCATAAATATGCCACCATAGTGTAATATAGATCTGGGATTTAAATATTTAAAGTGTTTGTTGATTTTGTGCTCCGTACACAGCTAGGTAAGTAAACATTCATGTCTAGGTGCCTGTGTATTTCCATAGTAGGGGTAACTATATTAAAAGAAGGTAAATATTTCGTGACATACCCCTGTGGACGCACCGGATATATGAAATTTTATCTATTTCTGATTATGACACCTTTAAATGCGAGGAAATATTTTCGTAAATGTTGCCAAACGACGACTGAAAAATTGTGTTAGTGGTTTTTGTTCTGGTACAAAGGTTCATAAGGACAACGATCGCCACATTTTGTGAAACCTTCCATAGCCAGGACCGTCATCTTAACATAACTCTCGGTAATGTGCCAGAATTTCTGTAAACATGTACTAATTCAACAATGAAATGAGGAGAAGTTTTATTTAAATGACCTTCATATTAAAACTTTTAGTTGATCATTATTATCCCCATGCCAGTTTATATTTACAGGTATACATATTCGTTTAGTATTGATAAATGACCTATAACAAGCAAAACCAATTGCGATTGAGTTTAATTCAATTCCTTTATGAACATATACATTTGTGCGCGTATAAAGCGCATAAAGCTTTCAACAACACTGGCTGCTTTCCTTTAATTCCCGGACGAATTATTTATAAATGGTTAACAAAGACAAAGAGGAGGTCCAGACTCCCTCTCTTTTGGAATGTTTGGAGTTTAAAAAAATCTAGGTATTAGTAATGGAAAAAATGACCCGTCCCTGGAAACATGGTGAACGATAAGGAGAATCAAGCATAAGCCTAGGAAAGTATCTCCCACCAAATAGGTTTTTAAGAATGTGTGGGCAAGTTATTTGCGTTCTGTTCTCTTCTTGCATTGATCCACATCCATTTATAGGGTGGCATTATATAGCTAAATTTGCAATATGTAAACTTGTCATTTGTAAATTTTAAAATATTTGCATACTAATCACTCATTAAAGTTGAACTTTATTTCAAAGATAGGTTTAAGCTACTAACCGCGTTATCAATGTCATTTTTCTCTAACAGGAAGGAATGGGTGATGTCTCGCTTAATTCTGCTCAGCACTTTGTTCTTTGTACAATCTGTGATGGAAATGCCAAATTCCTCTGTAATTCATGCCATGATGACCTCTGTCAAACCTGCAGGAAATGGCATCTGAGTAGCAACGCCACCAAACATCACGAGGTCGTGAGCTACACCGATAAAGAAGTCGAGAGGGAAGAAGTAGTCCAAAGGATTTAATAAAGAGACTATACTAGTATCAGATGCACGTCCAGCAACATTGAATTGAAACACAACAGACGCAACATCCGAACACGAAAATGAAACGGTTAGTGATGAAAAGAAAGATACATCCCGTTCTTCATTCTCGGGTATAAGACTTGATGCTCAGTAGCTTTAAACAGATGTTTCATTGGTTCAATATGTCATCAAAGACAACATTCCCCCAAAAGTCAGCGATTTATACTAAAATAAGCCAAGATGAAAAAAGCCAAGAGGAAACATCAGCTCGAAGTGTCGTCGGAGCAACAGTTTTCAAAAACAACCCACACAATCCAGATTTAACGTCTGCTCAGTGGCCAATTGTCGCCAAATCTGACGAATATTCCGACCTTGTCCTTACATTAACCTTGGAGAAAACTGTTCTTCTGCCAAACCTTACTCCTACGTCAGGATGTCATATTTCGTGCGCAGCGTTAAATACAATGTGGGTTAGTGACATGAGTGGGTCCCTGATTCTATTGGATTTCAAGGGAAAAGTTCTGAAAAGAATTAAAACCAGAAGCGGTGCTGGTTTTCATACAATGACACAAGATGGCAAACTTCTTTACACCGACATGGAGAATAAAAAAATTTTTAAACTAAAAGTGTACAAGTACTGTAGCGAGAATTCAAAAGCATTGAAAGCAAGTCGTCGCAAGGCCCTTTTTAAGAAAACTGAGAATTGGACGCCACTTTGTATATATTCATCGCGCTATACTGGTGACCTTCTTGTTGGTATGGTAAATGAGCACCGAGCAAGGATAATGCGATACGATTCTAAGGGAAAAGAGAAACAAGGAATCGAATTTGACGATAAGAATGATGCTCTCTATAGTCTTCCTCAGTTTGTGACAGAGAACGCCAATATGGACGTGATTACGTCAGACCGAACGGAACTGGTGGCGGTGGACATTACCGGCGGAAGGAGGTGGATCTACTCCGGTACCGGTAAATCCGGATTCCTTCCCGCTGGGATCTGCTGTGATTTGCTTATGAACATTGTAGTGTTTGATGTTTTCAGCAACAAAGTTCACTTGGTGGACAAAGATGGCAATTTTCTGTCGCGTCTGTTAGTCCTGGGAAATTCATGGATACCACAGGGAGTGTGTTTTGATAAAGAGGGTCGTTTGTTCTGCGGCGATCGCTCCAAAATTTATGTATACAAATACAAACATGTATAATTCAAACAATAACTGTTAAAAGTATTTACATACAGGGTACAGAAAACAAACAAACAAACAAAGAGAAACTCTCTTGGCTCAAATTATATTCTATAAATATTGCATGTAGTTGAGTGTAACATTGAAAATTTTCATCCCAAAAAAGCCATTGTCAACCTCGGTTGCGCCTCGGTTGACAATGGTTTTCTAACTGTTCTTGGGGTGAAAAGCAGCAGCAGTATTTTTCATTGAGGAGCAATTATAGATTTATGATTTATGATTATATTTCTGGGCGTTATTTTTATCATTCAAAAGGTTTTATTCCGAAAATGGCATAATATGTTTCTGATAACATTTAACTTTGAATTTTTTTACAAATCCAAAAACATACATGTAGCACAGAAGCAAGAAAAGCAATTTAACTATATAAATTCAATTGTCTTAGCTCTTACCTTTAACTTACATATAGTTTTGAAGTTTGAAAATTCATTCATAGAAAATTAAATATTTTTATGCAAATTTTCTAAGCTGGAACCATTTTTTGTGCCAGTTTTAAAAATAAGGATAAAAAATTGCTAAACTTTTGAAAAATTATGTATCCATGGTAAAATCAAAGAGATTTTATAATTGATTAATAACGGACACTAGCTAGAAATGACCCATACTACCCATAGTCCTTTGCGTCTCCGCACACAGAGATTTAAGATTTGGTTTGGTACAAACGAACTCCCGAGGAAGTTTGGAAATGACTTTTTAAAATTAAAATGGCAACTGTGGAAACTTACTGTATAAAATGTAATAAACGTTTCTGTGAATTCTCGTACCTTTGCTCTTATAGCCTTTAGTTGGAACATTTTAATATTGTTTTTCTTTAGTGGGATTAAAGCAGTTTGCATCATTAATGTAAGGTACTGAGTACCTACTAGCTTTGATTTCGTTATTTAGCTTTAGTTATTTAGTTATTTAATTAGAAATTAACACTTCAAAGCATAAGACAGCTTGATATTACCCGTATGCATTCACCTGACAAGAATATTCCTACTAAAACGAATTGTTTTTGCATCAAAATATGACAAGGGGTTATTATTCTACGGGGTCCATTTTCTACAATGCACACACGGAGAAAAAATGACCCCAAGACCATGATTTCTACAGAAAAGTGGGTCATTTTTCTACGGAGAATATTGACCAGGGGGTCAAATATCTACGTAGAAAAATGACCCCCGTTCAATATTCTACGGGGGTCACTTTTCGTCGTTACACTGATCAAACCGGAAGTAGCAAAAAATGGCTTATTTTTGCATTAATTAACATAGCTTTAGAGGATTCAAAGCATTTTTGGGCGTTATTTCTCATTTTTGTTAAAAATGAAAGCTACTTCCTGTCAAACAGGACGGCAGACCTACTCGTTGCTTTGCAACGAGCTTTGCTGTAGTCATTTCAATAGTGGTCGTTATTTCAATAGTGGTTACAATAAGGCAGCTTAATATTACCCGTATGCATTCGCCTAACAAGAATATTCCTACCAAAACGAATAATTTGCATTAAAAAATGACATTGGGTCATTATTCTACGGGGTCATTTTTCTACAATGCATATGGAGAAAAACGACCCCAAGGCCATAATTCCTACATGTACAGAAAAGTGAGTCATTTTTCTACGTAGAATTTTGACCAGGGGGTCAAATTTCTACGTAGAAAAATGACCCCCGGTCAATATTCTACGGGGGTCACTTTTCGTCGTTACACCGGACTGTCAAAATATTTTTGTTTTCGAAAAGCTACAGTTCTGCAGCTAAATAGTAGCCTGGTTCATGTAACAAAATTGCTGACTATTTTAAAAGAGTATTATGTTCATGGATTCCATTCACTCCACATTAAAATTGTAAGTGACTTTGATACATGTAGCAGTGCCGAAGCTTACCCGGTAGATTAATTTTTCAAGTTTTTGCTTGTTGTGGTTTGATATTAAATAAAGTATTCAGCCCTATAGGGGAATACAGTGTATGATTTTTCTGGACTGAATAAATTTTCATATTTTCATTTACGACAAATGCAATAAATGTTAGTGTTTGTTTTCGGTATGATTTCTTCTTTACCTGATGTTGCGTTTTCCGTTTTGTCTTTTCATTGTTCTTTTCTCTGCTGATAGTCATCATTTTCCTATTTTTTATGCTTTTGCTGTTTATAAAATAAGAAAATAGTGGCGTAGACATTTTTCTTTCTCAATGTTTATGCTGAATACATTACTAGCAAAGACGTTGTTCTTGAAATTGAAGAATAAAGTATCTAAAAACATAATTCATTCTTTGAGAAGTTGTTATATAAAGGTAATTGATTAAATGGAACGCTATTATAGAGTTATAAATTCGTATTATATGTAATTAAAAAAAATGAAACACAACATACCATATTTTCTTCAACAAAACATGTAGATATGTTTTTTTTTCTTTTTTGTGTTCTCGGGAACGCAGACATGAATCGGAAACCAAGAACAAGCTTTTACGTCCGGTACCTCGATTCATACATGTACATGTACCTTAAATTTGTTCTCCCAATTACATGTAAATATAGATGGACATCTTAAGCAGCTACATTTTACGTGAACAATGTACATGTACATGTACGTATGAAATATAGTCAAAATTCATGTAAAAATAAAATATGCTGACATAACAATGATTTATTCCACCTGACAAAGAAAGACATATCTCAAGGTCTGTAAAACTCCTAATGTAAGAAAAAGGTTTGACTAGCATTGACAAAATTTCCTCATTAAATAAAGATATCTTTGAATTTGTATGGAAATCAAAATGTGATAAGATTAAGACAACAATAGTTACTCGATCAGGATAATCTGTCTGGAGGTTTAAAGATGGTAAATATTGACAAATTAAACTTGAAATCCTTAAAATGCACTTGGGTCAAAAGACTGTTGACTACAAGAAACAAACCATGGCTGGATATATTCCTGGTAAATAATGGAAATGATGTTATAAAACAAATTTTAGATTATGGAGATGAATACATTTCTACTGTCATAATGTCAATTTAAAAGAACAATCCTTTTTGGTCGGATGTTTTTAGTTCTTGGAAGTATGTTATGAAAAAGGTAGAACATGACATGGACATAAAAATTAAAAACTAAGGCTTGTAATATCCAAATTTGGTACAACTCAAACATTAAGAAGTATTTTTAAAGAAAATTTGTATCAGAAAGGTGTCAAAACTGTTGGAGATTTTCTGTCCGAAGATTGTAATTTTCTTTCAAAGTCTGCTTTTCAAAAAAAATTTAATCTTCCTACTCAAAATGTAATGCAGTACAATAGTGTTATTAGTGCCATTGCTAAATGGCACTAAAATATGGGAATGAAGAGAACAATATTAAACAAAAGTTGTCTGCCTTATTTACCTTTTTATTTTGAGTATATTTTTTTGAATACAAAATGTTCAAAAATTATTTACAATGTCATAAACAAAAATTGTTTGAAGCCTATACAGCAATTTCAAAGTGGAATTCAGAGTTGTCCCCTCATGGAGTGAATGATACATGTAAATGTAGGCCTTTCAACTAATTTTTCAAGTTGCGCATATGGTAAAAACATTGTATAGATAGATTTATAGCTACATGAAATTATCAAAAAAGATAATAACTTATGCATACTTTTAATTACATAATTGAAAACATTAATCATTTATAATTGACTTCTCCGATGTTGTGTTTTAAGGACAGGTAACTCAGGTGTGAAAAATGACCAACTAAGTGCCGATTTATGAGTTATCGTTTATGGGAATGCTTCAGCATTGGCATTGTTATGTACACAAAAGGGTTCGCCACACTGTTTTGTACACAGAAGTGTTGACCAAGAGAAAGAGAATGCCTTCACTCTACCTGAAATAACAGGGTCAAATGAATGGGGAACAGACTATATTCAAGATTTTTAACTCTCTTTGACGATTGTTATGAAGGAGAAAATTTAATGTCGTTTTTTGTGTTCGCGCTTTTTCGCTTCCTATAGAAATATATATTTCTTTACAAGTAAATGCAACAATTAATCATCTTATTTGTGTTACTAAGCACGAAGGGGAACGACCGAGTATAAAAAAATAATTAGGTTAGAACTAAGAAGGAGGGTGAATTTCACTTTTTATTTTAATGAAAATTTTTACTTATATATAGTTAAACGGTGTCCGCAACTACACAGTAAATAAGTTTTACATTAGTGCTAAATTTTAAAACTACTGGATTCTACTGAGAGCAAAGAAACACTTGGGAAATGCTAAATACTGCCTTGCGTGTAAACAGCTAGATACCCCGAGCCTGCTCTAAACAAGTTTCAACAGTGAGTTATCGTTCATAACACCTACGTACCCCTAGCGGCAGTTGAAAGGCCTAATATATGCACACAAGAAGTTTTTCGAGTATGTTTCAAGACAACAAATGATTCTTCAGTACAATGGTTTCAATACCGACTTCTTCATAGAATTCTTCCTGTCGGGTACTATCTTAAGAAAATTAATATCAAAACACCTGATTCATGTAACTTTTGTAAGGAGGATACTGAAACTATTCAACATGTATTTGTAACTACTTGCTATGATGTAGTGGATTTATGGAGAAATTTGAGTATGCATATCTATAGAACAACTGCTAAAAGAATTGGTTTTAATTTCAAAAATGTTATTTTGGGTGAAATGCCATTCACTAAAGATAACATAATTATAAACTTTGTTATATTATATACTAAGCAATATATTTTTACTTGCTTATTACAATGTAAAAAGCCAAACTTTTTTGGTTTGATAAATCATTTAAAAATGAAATATAACATTGAGAGGTGTGTATCAATCAATAACTCTAAACTTTCATTTTTTTTTTATAAAAAATGGGACTCATGGAAGAAAATGTTTGAATCAAATTGACATGTTTCTTTTGTTTGAAAATAATTTGAAGACCTTTAAATATGTTTGCTTTTGATAATTGTTTTTTATGATTGGTGAACAACTGTTGTAGTGAATTCTAAAAGCAGCCTTAATTTTTTTCCGTATTATTCCAGTTTAATCTGATATGTGTGAGTGAATGTAAGGGAGATTGTATGTGTGAGTTTAAATTCCTTTGTATACCACTTTATAGCAATTTATATGGAATTCTGTTTGAATACAATGGAAATGTAAATAAAAAAAAAGTAAAAAAAAAAAAAAATTAAAAATAAAAAAAAAAAAATTAAAAAAAAAAGGTTCTTCTTTCGATTTTAAAAGCTTCAATCCAAAACAGGGAAAGTGTTTTTATTTATTTATTTATTTTTATTATTTTTTTTTAATGATCGACATCTCGAATCGTCTCAAGTCTCGCGGTTCGGAGTCCGCTGATACCTACTGAGTA